GAGCTAATATACTTTTCTAAAAAGAAGAGAATCTACTAATAAGCTAAAATAATAAGTATATAAAGATAAGAAAATTTTAGCTTTTATAGCTATATATAAGAAGCTAACTCTAACTTAAAGAAAAGAAAAAGGTAGATATTTTATTCTACTACTAAATATAAAGTCTATAGCCTTAGAAACCTAATAATATACTTCTAGTAGATAATAACTCTTTACTAGAACTTAATAGTATACTTATAAGAATTACTACTAACTCTACTCTAGCCTATAACAGCTTAAAGGAGCTTAAAAGAATATAAGAAGTTATAGCTAAAAATAACCTAATATATAGAAAAGTAAAAGAGGCTATAAAAATAAGTTAGAAAAAGTTCCTTCTAAACTTAAACTTAAAAGTCTTATTAGTAAAGTATACTATTAATAAAAAAAAGTTTCTATACTACTAAAAGTAAAAATAGGTACTAGATTTAAAAAAACTATATACTAAAATTATTTTAGAAACCTATAAATCTTTAGCTGTAGGCTATCTAGGCTATAAAAATACCTATATAATTCTAGCTTATAACTACTTCTTTCTAAAAATATTATTTATAATAAGGTAATTTATCTAAAACTATAATATATATAAAAGAACTAAGCCTTAAAGGAAACTAAAAAAAGAACTACTAAAACTACTTCTTCTTCTAAATAAAGTATAAAAGAAAATTTTAATAGACTTTATTATTAATTTACTTATAAGTAATAAGTACTAGTACCTTATAGTAGTTATAAATAGGCTAAATAAAGATATAATACTTATTTTATTAAAAGATCTAAATATTTAAATAGTAATAAAAGCTTTTATAAAAAGAGTAGTAGCCTACTATTAACTCCTAGATACTATTATATCTAACTATAGTAGCTAGTTTATTAAAGATTTTTAGAAAACCTTCTATAAAAAATTAAGTATTACCTATTAAGTATTTACTAGCTACTATCTAGAAACTAACAGTACTACTAAAAAGATAAATAGTACTATAAAATTCTACTTACAGGCCTATATTAATTAGAAATAAGATAACTAGGTACTAATATATTTTACTACTTAAATTACTATTAAAGAAAAGAATATAGTATTTACTAGTATTAGCCTATTCTTTTTATAATATAGATATAATATAGATATAGTATAAGAAGATATAAAATAGGTAATTTAGTAATAATATTAAAGGCCTAATAATCTAAAAAAGTTAGCTAAAATACTTACTATAAAATTTATAAAAATACTAGATTATATATAAGTAAGAATAGTAAAAGCCTAATAACTTTAAGAAATCTAGGCTAACTACTATTAATAAGAAGTACTATAACTATAAGAGGAAAACTAAGTATAGCTATAGTATAAAAAATACTTTTTTAATAGTAGGCTAAGTAAGAAACTAGACTAAAAAAATATAAAGTTTTAGAAAAAGAAAGTAATCTTTCTTTATACTATAAAATTAAATACTTCTTTAGGTATTTACTTAGTATTTTATATAAATAGGCTATAGCTATACTCTAGAAACTCTCTAGTAGAATAAGATACTAATAATTACTAACTTAAGAGTATATTAGAAAATATTAATAGAGAACTAGAAAACTACTAAAAAATTAAAGAAATTATAAGTAAAAAGTAGAAATAATATAGTAAAGAGTATAAGAAATAATACCTAGTTAAATAAAAAAACTATACTATAACTTTATAAGAACTAGTAAAAAACCTTAAAGAAGCTAAAGTACTAAATAGCTAGTTAGCCTTCTTTAAAGAAAAATAAAATAATACTAGTAAATTACTAAAAAATTTCTAAAAGGGTTCTCCTTATAAACTATAATAATACTAGAGCTTCTAGTAATAGTAGAGTAAAGGTAGAAGAAGTAATATTTTTAGTAATAAGTACTATAAGAAACTACTAGTAGTTTACTAATAAATACTTTTACTAGAGCTAAGAATATAGATAGTTAAGAAAATTAAAATATTACTAAAAAAAAAAAAAGAGAAAATTAGTTAATAAGTATAAAATTAACTACCTATAAGTAGCTAGAGTATTACTAATAGAGTACTATAGGCCTAAAATACTATACTATACTAAGTATTTACTAAAATACTAAAGGAAAAACCTAAAAAACTACTACTATATTACCTTATCTTTACTACTAATAGTAGTATTATTCTTAAAAGTATTCTAATTACTAGTACTACTATTATTTTTATAAATAAGTAGCTCTTAAGGCTTAGAAGAAAGAGAAATAAGCTTAGTAATAATATTAATAAAATACTTAGTCTAACCTTTAGTAGTCTTAGCCTAGAAAAGTATAAAAATTAGCTAGAAAAGTAGTAAAACTAGAAAGAAAACTTACTAAAACTAAAATAGCTTTACTTTAATAATTAAGTATAGCCTAAATATTACTAAGCTTAATTATAATAGTATAAAAAAGTAACTTAGTAATAGTATTACTAAAGTTATTATCCTAATACTTAGGCTAACTAATAGACTTCTTCTTAGTTTCTTACTAAGCCTTAATAAGCCTAAGACCTAACTTATTAAAGTATAAAGTAATAAACTTTATAGATATATTACTAGAAAAAATAGTAAAGAAACTATAGAAAAAGATAACTTTAGCCTTAAGCTAATTAGAAACTTACTTAAAAGTTAACTAGTAGTACCTAAGTAAAGGTAAATATTACTTATCTTATAATAAGTAGTATACTACTTTTAAGAGTAGTAATTATAGAACTACTTACTCTTTTTAAAAATATAAGTCTCTCTATCTTTTAGAAGATAGTAGGTATAACCTAAGTAAATAGGTAGCTAGAGAGGCTAGTAGCTCTTAGTAATAGAGGTAGAAGTAAAGGTAGAGATAATACTAGTAGTAATAAATAAGTAAGTAGTAAGGTATAAAACTAATAAAATAAGAAGTTAGTAAAGAAAAGAGTAGATTTAATAGACTAAATAAACTTATAAGTAAAGGTAAGGCCTTCTTATTACTCTTAGTAGTAAAATAAGTCTACTTTCTTACTAAAAACTTCTTTAAAGAGCTAGTAGCTATAGAAAAAAACTTAGAAAATAATATAAGCTTCTTAAGTAAACCTACTATTATAGTAGTAGGTAAAATAGAAGTTAAGGTAAGTAAAGTTAGTATAGCTATAATAAAAATTATATATAGAGGTAAGTTAACGTATTATATTATAGTAAAGTTAAAATATAAAATTTTTTACTAAAAGGAGGCTTATATAATAGGCTAGACCTAGTAGAACCTTAGTAAGTAAAGCCTTAGAGCTTAGCTACCCTAACTACTAATACCTACTAGAAATAGCTAGTACGCTACTAGAAGGACTATAAGTAAAGAAAAACTAGTACTATAGATTCTTAGTAAATTTATCTAATTTATACTAGTAACTACTCTTAGAGTTAGCTCCTTACACAGCGTATATAGTTAATAAGGTTACTATACTTAAAGAAGTAACACTATATAATAATTAGAATTTATTATTAATTAATTATTAATTAATTATATACTATAGAAATAACTACCTTTAATATCTATATAGTAGTAAACCTTACTAATATAGATAATAAAGTTATTATTAATATTAAGTATAAATAGACTAATACCTATAGAAAGAGTTAGTAGAGCGTAATAGTCTTTATAGTTTTACTATAATTAATTAATAATTAATTTATAATTAATTTAAGTTACTTATATTTCTATCTAAGATAGTGTATAAGTAGTTAGCAGCTATAGTAGCTATAGGTAGGTAAGTATAGAGTTAGTATAATATTATTATAATATAGTTTATTAAAATTAATTAAGAATTAATTAATAATTAATTTATATTAATTTGCTTATCTTAGCTCTTACCTAAGCGCGCGTATTAATACCTTAGCATGCTATGTCTTAGCGCACCCTTGGTCACATGGCCTGCTTCCTGCTAGGCCAGCAGCTAACCGAGGCATGACGTCACCGAACTAGGGACTTCTCCATCGAACATCTCTCTTTCTACACCTTACCTCAATGCTTAAACGCGATAAAAGCGATGTCATCGAACCACAGCAGATTATATCCAGATGGGCTTTTCCTATTCCCCACTCCTTAACGAACTTTGGTCACATATGAGGGACTGCGCCTGCCGCCTGCGCGCAGTGTATGGCCAAGCTCGATATCGTTCTCCAGGATTCGTGTGGATAATCAACTTTCGTGGAGATTGCTAAGAAGTACCGCGCCCATCACGACTGACTTGAGAGGCAGCTATATCCTTGCGTCATACTCGAAGCCTCCAAGGCAGCGCATGCCCAGGTTCACATCGCATTGTTGGTGGGCACTGAAGTTGGACAGGAACACTCGTACTCTTGATGGGATGAACTCATACTATCCCAGAGTTCGTTGATTTCGAATTTACGAGACACCCATCAGTGTCTGTCTTGGATTGATTCCCACCTACCGAGGAAAACAACAAGCCACGCGGGCTTCAGCTTAGAGAACGCCGACTGGTACAGAAGAGTGTTCAACCCTTGGCAGCGATCTCAACAAGCGACGTCCCGACGAGAAGTGGCTGTCCACTGCAGGAACAAACAACACAGGTCGTTTCAGATCTGCAGCACGGGAAAAATCCCTATTGGTCGGTGACGTATAAGTGAAGTAAGACTAAGAGAAAGACACAGCCTGTCAGTATGATACCAGGTTGACGGACGATAAGCACGTTGTCACCATTCGTGGGAGTTGACTTTACATTTTTCTTATCACTTCTGACGCGTAATCTTTCCTGACCACTGACCTCTACGCTCCCTACATCCAGACTGCCGGATAGTTTGTGGCTTCAGTCTCGTATTTCTCTACTTCGATCTTTCGTAGCACACACATAGTGTGACCTGAAGAACACGCGTTAGCTCTGTCTACATTCCTTCATATTCCAAACCCTGTAATTTTTCAGCATGGGTTTTCTTTACCTGTACGTAAGATTGCGTGGCTTGGGTTGAACCGCTGACACTCTACTTGCTTATTCCTACATTCAAACCACGCGTCTCGTGCCAACACCTCAACCAGGACACACCTTCCGCATCCTCTCAGTAAACGACACGAGTCCCGAGCGCGTGGTTCCAAGATCAAAAGACGTCGAAGGAGCCGAATGATGATGGTGCAGCGTCCTAATCGTTGATTGGGCACGGCTGTTAAATGACCGACCCACTAAAATACAGCCGGCAGCCGGTTTACAGCCCTAGCAAATACCAGCGCATATGTGACATCAGCTGGACCCTGACATTTGATATGTTTCCAAGACCGATGGCGTCTTCAACATTTTGTATAAAAATCTCGACGCGGTATAGCCCGGAATTTCTTGTGCATTCGTCTGTCTCAAGCATTCCTTACTCATTGCATTGTCTATATTACCTCTTCTCTGTATATACCTTGACATTTGTACATATCATCCCTTCTGCAAAGTTCTGCATCATCCGTATATCAACATGAAATCATTCAGGAAGTTCATCAACAAGCGCCGGCAAAGCTATCAGCAGAGCAAACAAGGAGGAAACAGCTCGGCTTCAGCTTCTGCCCCAGCTCCAGCTCCGGCTTCTGCTCCGGCTCCGGCGCCCGTCCAGCACGAGGTGCGCGCTGCAGCTCCAGCCAACAATCAGCAAGTCCTCGCTCAAGCGGCGCCAGGCACTTTGCAGGTAGCATTGCAGAACAAGTCAAGCTCGAGCAACGCCTACGCATATATCACTGGTCTTGGAATCAACAACAACAATAAGCCGCTTTTCATTCAGTCCAACGGCAGCGTTTATTATCCTGATTCACCCTCGAAGATTCAATCGCAACTACAAGCTGATGTCGCAATTCCACTCGGCGCACCAGGAAATACAGTCAATGTCTTTATTCCAAAGATCGCCGGTGGACGTATATGGTTCAGCATCGACGCGAAGTTGACCTTTCTGCTCAACCCTGGACCTGCGGTCGTGGAGCCTAGCGTATCAAACCCATCCGACCCTAATTTCAACATCAATTGGACATTCACCGAATTCACCTACAACGATGCCCAGCTCTTCGCCAACATTTCCTACGTGGATTTCGTCAGCATTCCCATCGCGCTCAGCCTAACTAACACGCAAGGCAAAACGCAAACAGTGCCCGGCATGAACGCGAATGGTCTGCAAACCGTAGTCAACGAGCTGCGCGCCCAAGCGCAAACCGACGGCCGACCTTGGGACAAGCTTGTCTACCAGAACAACGGGCAGGCACTACGCGTTCTCAGTCCCAACAACCTCCTCGTCGGCAACGCGAACGCATGGGGAAACTACTGGGACGCATACACTCAGGCAGTCTGGAACAAGTACCGTAACGAAGACCTCACCATCAACACACAGGCCGCAGCCGGAAATCTCACCGGTCGCGTCGTTAACAACGAACTCCAGCTTGGTCAGGCTGGAAATTTTGGAATGCCTTCGGCACAAGACATATTCAGTTGCAGCACTGGCCCATTCGCCACTGGATCAAACCAGGCGCGCAATGCTGTCATTCCGAGACTGGCAGCGGCTTTCAATCGTAGCACCTTGTTGAACACGCCTGGCAATCAGTTCCCGAACGGAAGCAACCCATCGATGTACTATCTGGATAAAGGGACCACTAACCACTACTCTAGGGTGGTGCATCAGGTGCAGAAAGATGGGAGGGGGTATGCGTTTCCGTACGACGATGTGGTGCCGAATGGTGGACAGGATGTTGCTGGCACGCTGTTCGATGGAAGCCCGCAGTTGTTTACTATTGCCGTTGGTGGAAACTAGCGCTAAGTAGATGCGAGTTGGGGGGTGGTCAAATTTGCAATACCCTTTTTCGTTGTGCTGGTTTTGTTTGCCTGGTGTTTGGAAAGGTTGAGGATGTGGCATAGCCACATGTACATAGACGAGTGGTTACATATATATAGTTTGATCGGATACTAGTCTCAAGATAGTAGTCTACGCGTAAACTCATTTTCTCGGTTCGGTTCGCTTTGGCGTGGGCTAGTAAATGGTGAGGCTTGAGTAAAGCTTATGTGAGGTCAGAGCGAGTGTTTATCGACGGCCTCCAAGTTTTCACCGTGCGATATATCGACCTCACTAGATAATGCCCGTCAAAAGCAATTCCTCGCCATTTATAACAAGAAACCAAGGTACTATTGCCCATCCAGACCCACAAGCTCAACGAACATAACTCCCAACCTCTATCCCCTCCGCCTCTCACCCCGCGTCCAAAAGCTAATCCCCCCACCCCCTCACCACACCACAAAGATTCACCTCTAAGCCAAAAACCCGCCCTCCCTCCACCCCGCAACAAACGCCCTAACCAGTCCCTCCCCCACCGGCCCAACACCAGCCAGCGTCTCCGAATGCGCCCTAGCCTTCGCCGTGCCCATCAAAAGCCCACCACAGCTCATCCGCACGAAATTATCCTCCAAAAAGTCAACGAGCAAATGCGCCGGATTCGCCCCATCGGGCGCGTTGTCCTCTGCGCGCGGCCACTCGCGCACACGGCGCAGCCACTCGTGCAGCGGGATGATCCCCGTAGTGTCTTGCGGGATATGCAGTGCGTCGGCCAGCACGGCGATCACATCTGCCCAGGGTTGGCGCACGGGGTTGTCGATGTGGTAGATGGGGTGTAGGGCCACGGCGTGGGGTTGTGCGCAGATGTCGAGCAGCGAGCGGGCGATGGCGTCGGCGGGCGTCCAGCCCAGTGAGCCTGGGAGATCGGGTAGGGCGCGCAGCGTCTGCGACGACTTTATCATAAAGGGCACGTGCTCCATGGGGTTCCAGTGCGCGTTTGTGGCGCTGCCGGCGATCTGGCCGAGGCGGATGGTGGCTGCGCGGAAGCGGTCGGTGTGCTGGTGCAATGTGGCGTCGAGCATGCGCTCGCAGATATACTTTGCGTCGCCGTAGCCGGTGGGGAGTACGCTGGCGATGGGGACGCGCTGTTCGGGGACGACGGGGGAGTTGGTTAGGAGGGGGTGTGCGCCGACGGTTGCGATGGAGGAGATGAATAGGAAGGTTACTAGGTCGCTGCGTGGGCGGTGGAGGGAGATGGCCTGCGCGAGGGAGAGCATGTGCGCCATGATGCGGAGCTGGGGTTCGAAACGCTTGACTGTCCATTTCGAGTGCATGAGCCACGCGTTGTGGACGATGTGCGTTACGTTCTCAACGAGCGAGGCGTATTGCTCGTCGGATAGACCGAGATTGGTGGGCTGGGAGAGATCGGTTTCGTAGACAAGTAACTTTGCCAGGGCTTCGGGGGCCAGCTCGACGCCCTTCTTGCGTAGGGCTTGGTTCTGCCGTTCGAGCGGATCCTGCTTGCTTCGACGGTTGAGACACACGACGCGCTCGACGTCTGGCCGCATCGCCGCTTCGGCGACCAAGTGCGCGCCTAGACCACCCGTGGCACCTGTTATCAGAATCCATTTGGCTTGGGGGTTGTAGGGAGATTTGCTGTTGGTAGAAGGCCAGTGTGGCTGGAGGTTCTCTCCAAAGCCCTGCGTCAAGTCACGGACGTATTTCGCGACTAGCTCTTCACGCTTCGCGCAATCGATCGAGTTGCTCTTCTTGAGCCGGTAGCTTACTGGGGTTGCGTTCTGCACTGGGTGTACGCTCCCGGGCCCTGCTCTGGAAAACTGTCAGAACTTGATCAACGATGAAATGAAGATGAAGCGAGGGAAGTGTCAGATCGAAGCACATAACTATCGGCAGAACCATTCGTTTATCCCGAGGGGCAATTGAACTCTTCTGTGGATAAGACCATGGGATTTGGTCGGAGGAAAGGGAAAACAAACACGCAGTGCAAACTCGATATAAAGAAAGGGGATTGTGATTCAATATTCGAAAACTCAAATGTACCTACAATTTTGTCGAGCTAGCAGCAGCAGCCAGTATCAACTTCTCAATCTCGCTCTCCGGCCTCGCGCCCTCAGTCCAGTCCACGCGACCATAGTCCACAGCCTGCAGATCAGTCTCCCACCTCGACTCATGGGTCAAGGCGTGCGTCCGACCGTCATCGAACATCCACCAGCCCTCAAAAAGCCCAAAGATGATATCGACCCAATAGGGCGTGCGTGTCATCTCGCCCATGAGAAGGAAGCCGTCAGGACGCAGGAATTTGCGCACGTTCCTCGTGCTCTCACAAAGAGAATGCGTCGCGTGGATCGCGTTGCTCGCAAGAACAAAGTGTTGAGTGCCTACCAAATCGTCTTCTGGCGCTTTTTCGATGTCGTGAGCCCGGAACCTCATCCACGGGTACAGCTTGCCCCATTTCTTGCGCGCCGCCGCCACAAAAGATGGCGCCAGGTCGGTGAAGGTGTATTCGATTGGGACCTGTAGTTGGGCTAGCAACGGCACGATGCGCCGTGTTGTGCCACCGGTGCCAGCCCCCATCTCCAAGATACGGAGCGGTTTGCTGTCGCTTATGACGTCTTGGCTGGCTCGAAGTTTCGCTGTGAGCCGCGTGAAAAAGTCTTCCATTTGCGTGTACAGCACTTGATTCAACGGCCACTCGCCGTAAAAGGCACTAACGAGCTCCCGTCCTTCACTGCTACCAAAGATGAGCTTCACGCCGGTTGTCTCGCCCGAGAGCACCTGTCTCAGGTTGACGCCCGCGTGATACGTCAGTTTGTCCGCTGAGTGCTGGTCTGGGAAGCGTCGAAGCAGTTCCTCGTACACTTCCGCGCTGCTCCGCTGAGGGAGGGGCATTGCTGTCCGGGTAATGGCGTCTCCATCCAGCTTGATGATCTGCGTTTCGGTCTCGAGCATATCGTATAGGTAGTTCACAAAGTGGTCGTGCTCTTTGCCATATGGTATGCGTGGGAGTCGCTCGCCCAATCGCGCATGGTGGAATCCAGCTCCAAGTGCTTCGAAGGCTTCGAACGTCAGCAGCACCGCCAACTCGTTCTGCAGCGGCAGCACTTCAGACACATAATGTGCTTGCCCCACATCGGCGATGCATTCGTCCGTCAATTTCTTTGTCTCATTGAAGGCCTCCATAACGATTGTATGAGAGAGTTTGAGACCACTCGATTCGGAAGCTTCAAGTTCATCTTTTTCTACGTCCGACTCTGGTGATGGGGTCGTCGTATTGGTAGTGGCCCCGGCTCCATCTAAGGAAGTTGTGGTACTGGGAATGTAGTTGTCAGAGTCATCCTCGTTTGCATCCATGTCTACGCCTAGCGCTCCAGCCACGACTTTCATTAGATCGCGCATGTTGACGACGGTGAGGATTTCGTTCGCCGGGAGTGTGACATGCAGGGCGGTTTCGATCTCATGCACCATCTCCATGCCGGCTAGTGAATCAATGCCCAAGTCTGCCAGATCGCTGTCATCCCCGATCTCGGTGACTTCCAGGCCTGACAGATCCGCAATCACGGCCTTCACTCTCATTGTCAGGTCGTCTTGAAGCGACCGGTCGTTTGAGTTGGGCATTTTGGGCTCTACAACTGAGTTGGCTGGTGGTGGCGGTAGTGTTGGGACCTGAAGTGCGGCTGAAGGTAGATTGACTTTCTCCAGCCTACTAGATGATTTAGGCGCACTGATAGGCTCAAGCATCGTCGACTCAGTCGGTACCTTGGCCAGCCACTCCGGCCCAGTCAGACGCGTGAGCATCTTCTGCATGGATGGCTTGGAAATTTTGACGTAGGCAATGCCAAGGATGACCTCGACCAAGGCACCATCCGTAGCATCGAAGACGAAGACATCCGTCAAAGACAATTTATCGGACGGACGGTGATGCGTCGCGAAGACATGGAACTCTTTCGGTGGTTGGACCGCTGTGCGAGGTGACCGGATCCATTGGTCGATGCCATTGGCAAGATACACGTCATTGGGAGACCGATCTGTCATGCAATTGACCCAGAGGCCACCCAGCTGGCAGAAGGTATCAGCAAGGTAAGCATCAAACCGAGGTGTTTGATCAGAGTCCAAATTCTTCCGAATGACATGACCAGCCGATTGATTTCCGTGAGCAACCATCTTTTGCAAACCGCGGTACTCGTCACCGTAGTCAACAATCTCAGAAAAGATGCGGTAAATGTTACGGTTGGCGAGTACCTCGTCGACTTCAGCGCTCTGCAGAAGATCTACCGCACGATGATGGCCGAATAAACGTTCAAAATGCACCAGCTGGCGCTTCACTGATGCATCACTGGCATGGCTGAAGATGATTTTACCTGTTGTATGTACCATTCGGGACTTACTCTGGTTCTCAGTACTGAAGACCTCGAACCGCCACTCGAGCCCTCCTGCTACGTCATTGTTGACCTCGATCCACGTTGTGCGCGAGGAGTTTGCACAAACTGGTGACTGGTACTGAACATCCTGTATTTGTGGCTCATGCTCGGGCCGGAGTTGAGGTTGAATACTACCAATAGCTTCGATCACGAAGGATATTTGCATGGTTGCAGGACATATAGGCGCCGTCTGGATGGTGAAGTGCCCTGACAAGAGATTCTTGTATTTTTCAGTCGCCGTGTTGATCTGGAATCGTGCCTGCTTCTGGGTTGATCCATCCAAGAAGCCAAAGAAAGTCAAGAGCTCCTCAGGTTGCTTGTCCGCCTCAATCAAGTTCTTGGCCGCTTCATCTGTCGATGTTGGTAGTGCCTTGGGCAAGGTCTTCAGCTCCATCCAGTGTCGTGCGTTCGGGTCAAACTGGTAGGGTGGCAGGAGTAACGGCTCGATGTCCGCTTGGTGGCGCCTCTGCAGCCCATGGTGCGCCCAATGCTGCACGTTTATGTCGGCTTTCCAGAGAGACATGGTGGTGTCGGTTAGCTTGTTCCAGCCATCGTCACAGTTGGCCATGTTGAGGCCATGGAACGTGCTCGTGCCTTTGACACTTGAATTTCCGAGGGCACGGGAAGCCATGGCCGTGATTGTGGAATTTGTGCCAGCCTCGAGGAAAACGCAAGGAGATGAGGCATGCCGCCTAGCTATGCGCTCTAGAGCATGGTGGAAGTAGACAGGATTGCGCATGTGGTCTGCTACTGACCTCGCCGACAAGTTGGTCTGGGATGATGTAGGTTCTACAGCCCGCTCAAGAGGTATGACTGGCTTGCGGAAAGTCAATCCTTGAACACCTTGCTCAAGACGATCAAGAAGCGGATCTACGAGGGCAGAGTGGAAAGCATTCGTCACATTCAACCTCTTGCTTTTCGCAGTCTTAGTGGGCAACTCACGGAGCCGGGCGTCGACGGCGTCGATGGCACTGGTGGAACCAGCGAGGGTGAAGCTCCTTGGCCCATTGTAGCAAGCGATACTGGCAGGCTTGTCCGGATGCCGACTGTTGGCATCGAGGAGCAGTTGCTCGACGTCATTGCGATCGGCTTCGATGGCCATCATGGCTCCTTTGTCAGAGCCCCACGCATCCTGTACGATGGTAGCCCGACGCACGATCATTCTCAGCGTATCCTGTAGAGAAAGGACTTGGGAAACACAGAGGGCCGTCAGCTCACCAAAGCTATGGCCGACCAGGACAGCTGGACGGATGCCCGAGTCGATCCAGGCGCGGGCACAAGCATACTGAATGGCGAAGAGGGTTGTTTGCAGCCGGACAATATCGGCAATGGGGGTGCGTTGGAAGATGAGGGGGAAAATGGAGGGGCGTCCAAGCGACTGCAGGGCTGTGTCAACATTGTCAAGGTGTTTACGGAGCAGAGCGACGCTGTTGTAGATGTGAGGGTCGAGGCCAATGTAGGTGGAGATTTGACCGCCAAAGCACAAGATGACTGTGTGGTTAGTTTCGGGCGTGGCAGAAGGAGAAGTATGTCCTTTCTCAAGCGTGGCCAAGCGCTGGTCCAACTCGGTCACAGAGGCAGCAGTGAAGAGGAAGCTCTGCCCTAGGGCGCGGTCACTCTGGTGGGCGAGATTGAAGGAAATGTTGGTAAGAGAGGGAGAGGGAGAGATGGTGGAGCGCGCAAGGAAGCGTCGCAAGGCTGTTGCGCCACGACGGAGGCTGTGCGCATCGAGGCCGCTAAGCCAGAAGGGGTATGGACAGTCCTTCACGTGTTCTACTAGTCGTGCTTCCTTCGCAGCGAACGACGGGGCCTGCATGACAATCATCGAGGCATTGGACCCCGAGGCACCGTAGTTGTTGATGAGGGCTACGCGAAAGTCGACATCCCACGGCTGGAGACGGCGCGGGATGAACATGTGGTCGCTGGGCTGCGCGTTGAGGGCAGGATTCAGCGCGTGGAAGCTAGCCTGGGGCGGCAGCATGCGCTTGTTCAGCATCAGCAGCGTCTTGACGAGGCTGACGATGCCAGAGGTGCACTCGAGATGCCCCACGAGCCCCTTCACCGAGCTCACCATCAACGGCGTGTCAGGCGTACGCTTCGGCCCGGCGAGCGTCTGGCGGATGCTGTCGTACTCGGCCGGGTCGCCGACTGCCGTGCCTGTGCCATGAGCCTCGACGACAGAGATCTGCGAGGGCTTGACATGGGCCTTGGCGGTGACGGTGGTGAAGAGGTCTGCCAGCGACGGCACGTTGGGCACGAAGATGGGCGTGCAGTTCTGGTTCTGCTGCACCGCCGTCGCAGCGATGACGCCCAGGATCTGGTCACCGTCTGCCACGGCCTGGCTCATCTTCTTCAGCAAGACGGCGCCGACGCCCTCACCGCGACAGTAGCCGTCAGCAGCAGCGTCAAAGGGCTTGCACTGGCCGGTTGGGCTCAGGAACGAGCCTGCCGCCAGATTCTGGAACCACGCCGCCGAGGTCATCACGTGTGTTCCGCCTGCGAGCGCTGCGTTGCACTCGCCCGACAGGATGGACTGACACGCTTGGTGGACAGCGACTAGTGAAGAGCTGCATGCCGTGTCGATTGTGAGGGCCGGTCCCGTCCAACCCAGGAAGTGCGACACCTTGCCCGCAATGAAGCCTTGCAGGTTCCCCGTGGCCGTGAAGGCGTTGGCGGCGTGGCACCCGACATTGGACTCGTAGTCGCCGAGGCACACGCCCACGAAGCAGCCAACATTGCCGTCACGCTCTCGCGCCTCTCTCGCAAAGTAGCCGCCCTGCGCGGCTGCCTGGTATGCCACCTGCAGGATCTGCCGTTGCTGCGGGTCCATGGCCGCGCTCTCACGTGCGCTCTTCTTGAAGAAGCGGTGGTCGAACTGATCATGACCACGCACCAGGTTGGCGAACCACGTGCGGTCCATCTTGTTGTCCGCCGCCGTCCGGAAGGGCGTGTCGGCAAAGGAGAAACGCTCCGAGGTGCTGACATCACGGTGCTGCGATTGCCCCTCGACCAGCAAGTCCCAGAACTCTTCGACATCGTCGGCCCCGGCAACCTTGCACGCCATGCCGACGACGGCAATGTCGCTCTCCCTCCACAGCCGATCGGAATGCCTGTCTGCTTTGCCGCCCTTTCGATTGGCATCATCACGTGCGTCTGCGGCGTGTACGACTTGTATGTTCGACCGGGACGTCAGTGACAGAGGCACGCTTCGCTCGGGTCCGAAGGAAAGGACCGACACGCTTTCGCCCTTTTCTCTGAGCGCAGTGGAGAAGGTGTCAAACCACCGAGGAGGTTGTTCCAGAATGCTTCGCAGCGCGTGCACGTGTAGCGCGCCTTGGCTCACATGGCTTCCGTCAATGCCGTTTACCCACGAAGGCATTTCCAGCGCCGTGGCGTCCGCAAGCTGGAATTGGCTGTGAGAATCGCAAAAAGCAACGAGCTGCTCGACAAGGGCCGAGTTGCGTGCTGAGTGGAAGGCTCCATACAGGCCAAGCTCCGTAACACCAAGTCCTGCGGCTTTGAGTCTTCGAACCAAATCAAGCAGGGAAGCTGCTGGCGTTGTCACGGTGCTCCGTTTCTCGTCGTAGTAGACGGAGACATATGCCTGGGAGATGTGTCAGATTTGGAGGGAATTGCATTTGCCAAGGGACGTCGTTACCTCATCAAAGTCTTCCAGAATCTCTTCTAATTCTTCACCTCCTCTCTCCGCACTCCAGGCTACACTCAGTGAGCGCGATCGTCCACCCTCGAATGCTGCGTCCTGGCTGTCCACCACCAAGCCAACGAGCATGCCTAGTCGTACAGCGGCTGCGCCATATCTTCGAAACTCATTCATGCTATGCGCACTCGACACGGCAAACGAGCTCAAGATCCCGGTGCACAAGCCCAGCGTCTCAGTCTCGTTTTTGCTCGTCGGCCAGTCGTCCAATCCGCCATCTCTGTCGATATTGGAGTGACGAACAAAGGCAGCATACTGAGTCAATTGGTCGATGACCACAAGGGGGATGAGAAGAGCATTAGGTAGTGGAAACGTTGTGTCCAAGGGACGGCCGGTATGAAACGCTTCTTGGAGATCGGCCAGCTGTTTGCAAGCTAGAGCTCCAGAATTGTAGAGTGATGGGAGTTCCGACGATATTCTTTCGCAGTCCTGCGGGAGCTGTCTGACCACATCAACGAGCCAGGTATTGTTGTCGTTATCTACCACGGATTTACGAACCTGCGCTAACGCAGAGTCGTCGAAGGAGAGGGCGAGGGATCCAAATAATAAAATGCTGGGTTCCGCCTGTCCATGAGGGGAGTTGGTCGTTCGGTCTGCCATCTTCATCGCTGGGTACGCATGCTTGAACTGACTGGCGGTTGCTCTAGGCGAATGGAAGTTGATGACGTGCACTCAGAGTTGGATGTTGAATTCCTCTTGTTTTCTCGTTCAAGTCTCTCTCTGTATTCATTATGTACCAGAGCTACAATAACCTATACTCGAATCACACAACCCCACCCAGCTTACCCTATTAACGTTTGACATTTGCCTATTTTCGGGTAATATCCAATGGGTAGGATGTTCCCGTGTTTCGGACTATTTTCGGGCTTTTATTATTCATATATTGACCGTGGAATTCACAACGCAATAGTCTCACAGGCCGCGCACTTCCAGATCATCCCAGAGACCTAAAACTTGAGAATTAAAAACTCCGGACCAGATCAAACCACTAATTGTCGTCCGAGTGGGTCCCAACTACTCTTTCAGCTGATACGCGTCATAAGTTTTGTTCATTTTTTTGAAAGCCTTATTGAGGTACATTCTATGACAGTCATCAAAAGCACCAAGCCTGTAATGGAATCTGAGGACCGTTTCATTACGGCCTTGCTCAAAGTTCACCACTGTACCCGTAGGTCATAAATTGATGCTCGACAGTTAACTTACCATGGCCGTCGACTCCCTCACGCCTTCATCTGGGCCACATGTTGCTATTGTCGGGGGAGGCATTGTTGGAGTCATTCTCACGCTTGGTTTGCTGCGCCAGAATGTCGAGGTGCGCTTGTACGAGCAGGCGGCTGGGTTCCGAGAGATCGGGGCTGGGATCGCGTTTTCGGAATGTGCACGTCGCTGCAGTGCGTAACAATACCCACAACATACTTGATGCCGTTATTTGAGAAGCTATAATGTGGTATCTGACATGTTAGAGTAGTGGAGTTGATGGACCCGGCCATTATCGATGCCCTGAGACGCTGTGGCGCCGTGTCTGTGTCTGACAAGGCCAGTGAGGATGACTACTTGCGCTGGATAGACGGATACAACCAGCACAGTGTCGACGATCCCTCATACCAGAAATCACTGGCTCAGATTGGTGGCAGCGGTTTCAACGGCTGTCGACGAGACCAGTTTCTCGAGGAGCTTGCAAAGGATATCCCGCCCGGGGTGATTGTGTTCCAGAAGCGCTTAGACGTTTTGACGCAGGAAGAAGACGGGAAAACACTACTGGGCTTTGTCGATGGAACAACAGTCAAGGTCGATGCTGGTATGGCTGTCAACCCCTCTCTGTTGCTGCTAGTGCGTGTGTGTATTCACTGACTACAACACAGTCATCGGATGCGACGGCATCAAGTCACGCGTCCGCCAACATCTCTTTGGCGCCAACAACCCGGCCTCGTTCCCGCAATACACACATAAAGTAGCATACCGCGGCCTCGCGCCGATGGACTGTGCCGTAGAGGTACTCGGAGAGTGGAAAGCACACAACTTCCACCACCACGTCGGCCCAGGCGCGCACCTAACGCACTACCCAGTCGCCAACCACACCGCGCTGAACGTAGTCGTTTTCCTCTCCGATCCGAACCCCTGGCCAGATCCCGCGGCCATGGTCGCCGAGGGCACGCGCAGCGAAGTCGAAACGGCGCTGCGTGGCTGGCATCCGACTGTCCTCGGCGTCGTGGGCCTCCTACCCGCCACGCTTTCTAAATGGGCGCTTTTCGACCACGGCGAATATCCCGCGTCACGCTACAATGCAGGTCGTATCTGCATAGCGGGTGATGCTGCACATGCAAGTAGTCCGCACCACGGCGCTAGTGCATGCCTAGGTGTGAGTAACCCCCTACATAACACACTACCATCTCTAGCTACATCACTAACAACCACCAAACGAAAAGGTCGAAGATGCACTCTGCCTCACCACTCTCCTGGGCCAGGTCCGCACGCACACATCCCGCAATCCTAACACGCCACTCATGCATCACGCCCTCGACACCGCATTCGAGACTTTCGACGCCGTACGTCGCGCCCGCACGCAATGGCTCGTCAACAGTAGCCGTCGCGTGTGCGACTTGTACCATCAGGCTGAGTGGGCGGAGCCCGCGCGCTGGGTCAAGGCTGAGACGTGCTTTGAGGAGATAAGGGACCGGTCGTATAAGATTTGGGGGTTTGATGGCTCGGAGATGGTGAGGCGGACGGTGGAGGAGTTTGAGAGGAGGGGGGGGGGGGGTAGTTTGTAGGTCTGCTTTTGTGGGGGGAGGGTGTGGTTGTGCACTTTCTCATTGCCACTGATCTGAAGTTTGATTACTCAGCCCTTCGAAAGAGCATAAAAACTTACTAGTCGTATATCCGGGTTAGTCACTGCGTGTCTTCTAGTGGCTGTGCAATTAGGCAGGTTCCTAGATGTCACTACACAGGGATGAACAAATTGATTATACTAGTCTTGCATAGCATAAGCGGCAGTTTGAGCGGCTCAATCAGAGTAAGCGAGTGAAACTAGTTCTGTACAACAGTCGCGGAGAACTATGAGTATCTTGAAAATAGTCTCCGATTTATGCACCGGTGCGGACTTATCCCTGACGCCACAATATCAAAATGTAATTCAGGTCTAGCGAACGTCGAAGCAGGGCTTAGTATTAGACAGGATTATATCTTCCTGTCTTTTACGAGCGCTCAGTGTGACGATCGTCGTCTAGCTAGAATTTATAGGATGCCTGGTTCGGGGATTGTCGTGCATGATGCATGATGCGTGAAGGAAAGTATCGGTGGATCGAGGGTCGAATAAGAGTTATGCTAGCAGATTGGGCTCAGAGGGACCTGGGTGTTATGAAGTGGTTTATGTAGTAGACCCTCGTGGGTAGGAGCATTAGGTTAAGTACAATGGTAGATTTCGGTGTATTCTTTGTAGCATTCATTGTAGACAAGTTCAGGCTAGACTACTGAATGCGCAAATCCACGCTTTGGTCTCTTGATGTCAGGTCTTGATCTGTTCGCTGGGTTTATGTTTTTTATCTTCGCTTTCTCCTCCTCGATTTTGCTTCTAAAGACGCTGCACTCAACGAATTGTAGTTTGGAGTACGGATACCAAAGGGAACGAAACCCAAGATGACGCGATCAAAACCAAACGGCAACCCTCTACCAGGCTATACGCATAGAGACCAACCATCACCCCCGCTCACAAGCTCGGCATATGCCAACCAGCCAGATGGAGGGCTCGTAGCCTGGCTGCAAGTCTTGGGTGCCTGGATTCTATTCTTCAACACTTGGGGCGCCATGAACACCTTTGGCGTGTTCCAGACCTACTACGAAAGCGGCGTGTTGTTCAATCAGTCGTCGTCCAATATCGCATGGATCGGCTCGATTCAGGCTTTCTGCCTGCAGGTTACGGGTCTCGTCGCGGGCCCAATCTATGACCGTGGCGGGTTCAAGGGTCTCATTGTCACAGGCAGTGTCGGTGTGGCTCTGGGGTACATGATGCTTAGTCTGGTAACTTGGTCTGTCCGTCATTTGGGTGAAACTTGCTGATGGATTGTCGTCTAGTGCAAGGAATTCTGGCAAGTCGTTCTGGCTCAGGGATTCCTTATTGGGATCGCCGAAGGGTGCCTCTTTACACCTATGATTTCGATCCTCCCAACTTACTTTAGTGCGAGGTTGGGCCTTGCTACGGGTATCGCGTCTTCTGGCTCCTCCATGGGCGGGGTCATCTATCCTATTGTGATAAAGAGCTTGATGTACAAGATTGGCTTTAGCTGGACGACTCGAGTGCTTGGCTTCATGGCGTTCGGTATGCTACTGGTTCCTGTCTTTTTGATGAAGGAACGCGTCAGACCCACTACGAGGGTAGCCCGGGCGCTCATCGACCGTTCTGCCTTTACCGACCAGCCATTTATCATCTTCATACTTGCTACGTTGATCGGCTTCATCGGCTTGACCATTGCGCTGTTTTATCTCTCCTCGTTTGCTCTGACCCAGAGAATCACTGACGAGGACTTCGCCTTCTATATAGTCCCATTGTACAACGCCGCATCTGTGTTTGGTCGCATTGCGCCGAACTTTCTTTCCGATAGAATTGGTCCGTTCAACGTTATAGCACCCTGTGCTATGATTACAGGCGTTCTAATGTTTTGCCTCGTCCCTCTCCGTGCCGGGCAAGTCGGCGCGATGGTTACTTTGACCGTACTCTTGGGCTTTTTCAGCGGGGTATTTGTAGCTATTCCTGGTACTTGCTTCCCCCGTTTAACAAAGGACAAAAGTATGCTTGGCACACGGGTTGGAATGGGATTCGGTGTCATCGGTTTTGGGATGCTTGTTGGAGGCCCTGGCGCTGGGCGAGTACTCAGTCCAAGTTCAAGCCCGACCGGGGCGCTGGATTTTACGGGACTATGGATCTTCGGGGGAGTGGCTGCAATTGCGTCTGGGCTCCTCTATTGTGTAGTTCGTTTCCTCCTAGCTGGATCCAAGCTGGTAGTCAAGGCTTAGCGATGGGTTGGTGGGAAGTAGCTCTAAACACTCCATTTGCCATGTTCGGGGGAGCTTACACATAGAATACTATCCGTCCATACAGAGTTTCTACAAGTGGTAATTAATGCAGACTCCTTGGGAGGTTCTAGCACTTTACGCTTAGCCGTACGCATCGAAATGATCAACTCGAAGTCTATACCTCAACAGAGGGGTTGACAAGATCAATAGTCCTACAATTTTTGTCCCGAACAGTCTGCATATGATCACCGAGAACACAGTACAATCGATGAACCCCATACTACTGGCTAACTCGCGAAGCCCTCTGCCATTTGGAAGATTGTATGCTACCCACAAAATATTCCTTCTAAATGCTAATCTGACTTGACTACGCGTTAGCTTTGCTTAAGTCTTTCACGCATAGCTATCGACCTTCTGTGAGACCCTTCTCCAAGTTCATACGCGTACTATTCTTTCCAATAAGCTTCTTGATGCTTCATACTACCCTACTTATCGAGTTCGGCTTCTGGAAGTGGTCTCCTCACAGTAATTGTATATTGCGATATTGCTCGTTACATTCACGACCTCGAACCGCTGGAACCAAGCGTATTTGTAGTCTACCAGGATCGTGTTTGATAACACATGTACAATGTCGCGATCAAAATCAAGTTCCTATTCTCCTCCTCTTCATTCAATTTCAAGTGCCAAAACTTCACAACGACCTCTCCAGCGAGCCCATTTACAGCTGCTTCCTCATAGCGCACAAGAATGGCACGATCGTAGCCTGATCGAGATCCCATACCCCACCTGCCGCAAACGGATCTTCGCTCAACTGGGCGCGGATATCAGCCTCGCTGTCTGCCTTCCATACCATGACGCTTCCCTTCAAAACAGCGGGCTCTCCGGTGCTCTTGGAGTGCGATGCAACCATCGGACCTGTCATGACGATATGCCCCGCGTCTATACGCGGCTTGTTGTGGGCCATGTGCGCAATCACATTCTCCTGGCGAGCTCGCAGGGCGTTAGGGTTGGATTGATCCGGGATTTGGATCAGCCAGTTGGGTTCGAAAGCCATCTTGCGAGTAAATGGTTGGTCAGGGGAGGTGGAAAAGATACGAAATAGTTTCACTGCGCTCGATCAGGCGCAGGTATGGGTTTCTGAGGATGGTTGACCGAAAGTTCGACTGATGGAACTGTAAGTGACAGCGACAAGAGTTGACCTTAAACATTTCAAACAAGACCCAATACTTAGTAGTTGAGACATGAAGCCCTGGCCTGGGTCGGAGGCTACCATTTCCAGCTCCGCCGGCGCGGAGCAGACAATAGGCCGAAAAGTGGGGTAGTAAACCATTTCCGGCGCATTGCCGGAGAATTCCGGATGGCAACTATTTCATGTGATTTCGTAGTTGCATACTCCACTCATAAACTCAGCGATTAGAATTATTGTGAGCCCATTCTTTGCGAGAAAAACAGAAAGGTAGAAAACTTCAGTCCTGTAGAGATCATGCTCACATTGTGTTAGATTATCAGTTCATTGTATCCTCAACACACCAGTCTCGACCATGACGAATGTTGGATCCAAAACTATCGTGCTCATTACAGGCGCCAATACTGGCCTAGGTACAACAACATTACCCGGCCATCTACTCGTAAACTCGGCTGATCATGAACTTTGTTGGTAGGATTTGAGATTGCTAAAGCTCTTTTCGCACGTCCAGAACAGTATCACATTCTCATCGGATGTCGCGGTCAATTCAGTCGTGCAGATGATGCTATAAAAGAACTGCAGAAGCTTTCACCTCACAGTGCTTCTACGGCGGAGCCACTTTCGATTGACATATCTTCAGACGAATCGATTGCCGAGGCGTTGGAGCGAGTCCAAAAGACTCTTGGCTACATCGATATCTTGGTCAATAACGCTGGTACGTCCACTTTTTGCATTTTCCTGACCATCTCTGCGGCGACTTAACACTACTTTAGGCGCCGACTTCGAAACAGCTGTATCCTCCGGCCGTCTTACTAAGCGGGAGGCTTGGAGTCAGACCTGGGATGTCAATGTATCTAGCACACATCTCTTCACCGAGGCTTTCGCACCGCTGTTATTGGCTTCGAAAACTCACTCGCCCCGTCTGCTCTTCATCACCAGTGGTTTAGCTTCTGCTACTGAGAATGCCAGCGGCTCTAGTCCGCGTTACGCGCTCGCGCCAGCCGGGTGGCCGAAACCGTATGCGCCATATCTGGCCTATCGGTCGAGTAAGAGCGGGCTAAACTTGCTGGCGACAGAATGGGCACGGCTCTTGTACAACGATGGCGTCAAGGTATTCAACATTTCGCCGGGCTTTCTCAATACGGGTCTGGGCGATGATCGTGCTACGTCTGAACGAAGAGATAAGGGCGCTATGGGCGCACTCGATCCGGCTATTGGAGGCGAATACTGTGCCGACGTTGTCGAAGGCAAGCTAGACGAGAAGTCTTGGCCCATCAAGACACTGAGATATGATATGGTGCAGCCCTGGTAGAAAAAGATCGCATTGAACAAGGCATGGAGCTATAAGGTTCTCAAGAAATCAAAGCCTCAGATGCGTTTTCCGAAGGTTTCAGCGAAATGGGCCAGCATCAAACCCTTCCATGGTAGCCTTGTGTTGAATAGCATAAAATATCGACAGCCTTGTGCCGCGGTGCTTTCGTCAAATATTGTCTCCTAAACGAGCTAATCTACGTTTCTAGTTCGATTTGCTAATACTGTTTTGTTGGATCAAGATGTCAAGTGCCATTCTTTTACTGATCGTTATTGTTTGAAAATAAGTTAAAATATAGTGTTTACACTGTGTTGCAGATGGATTTATCTACTATTGTGCTCTATTTATCGATTTCTTTTTCGGGCGTAAACATGATAAACAAGGAATTTGAACAGATGTTAGGGAAATAGGTCGTGAAGTTTTAATAGTAAAATAAACGCCGGGCATACAATGAAATTGTCCGAAGAAAGTTCGCGAAGTGACGGTTCTGAAAGATTTTGGCCCGAGACGTAAGATACTCAGAGCCGTGAGAACCGAATAATACATGCAGACGAAATTCAGATGATGCTTTAGGAAAGTTACAGTGACATCACAGGTGTTGGCGGAATAGGGTCATCATTCCTCTTACACCGGGTGGTCTGACTTCTTTGAAGAAGAAGCCGAGTACTACCTCGTTGTGATTGTATAAAGCTGTTCCACTCACTGGCGAAGTCAAACCTGTGATAGACCGTGTTCATTTTGTTTGTCTGATCGTCCAAAGAATAGCATACATTCAGTCAACATGGGTAGCATCAACGAAGAAGCGGCGCTACCAACTATCGACATTAGCGCGTTGCTGTCGCCGACGGCTTCGGAGGAGGCGCGCCAGGCTGTTGTCGAGAGTATGAGTAATGCTTGCCATACATATGGCTTCTTCAACCTCGTCGGCCACGGCATACCGCAAGATGCCCTACGAGATGCTCTTGAATGCAACAAGTTATTCTTCGCCTTACCCGAGGACAAGAAGATGGAGGTTTCCATCAAAAAGTCTGTTGGTCGCTCATTCAGAGGCTACGAGCCTCCCGGTATCCAGACCCATCATGATGGTCTGTTGCCTGACACCAAAGAGGTGAGTCCTTCCTACGGTCAAACATAATACATGTTTCATCATTCGAAAAGGTTAACAACGAGATGTTCTAGACTTTCATGGTAGGGCGGGAGGTCAGTGAAAACGACCCCGACTACGGCTCCTTCTCTACTGGACCAAACCAGTGGCCCTCCAACATGCATGAGGAGAAGTTCCAAGGCCGTGTAATGGACTATCAAAAGAGGATGTTGGGGCTTGTAAAAGAAATTCTTGACATCCTGGCTCTTGGTCTTCCGAAAGACTGGAAATGCCCGTCAAATGTTTTTGACCCGCTTCTCAACGAGCCGTCCATTCCAATGAGATATCTTCACTACGGACCCATCGAGGTCCATAACTCCCGCCAATTTGGAGGTGAGTCTTCAGAGTGTTCCCAAAGTAGTCTTGTTATATGTGTATGTGCTTATACTGTCTTCAGTGGCCGATCACACCGATTTTGGATTTGTGTCAATCCTACTTCAGGAGGCAGGCACTTCAGGTCTTGAGGTGTTCTACCCGCCGTTGGAGACGTGGGTGCCTGTGCCTGTGGTTCGGGAAGGCTTCGTCATCAATATGGGCGATATGATGCAGATGTACACGGGAGGTTATTACCGCAGCGCTCGCCATCGCGTGTTGACTAATCGAGACAAGCACCGCCACAGCGTTGCGTTCTTCCTGAATGGAAACCTGAAGCTCAATGTGAAGGCACTGGACGGCTCTGGCGTGGAAACGGTGGTAGGTGAGCAGATACAGCAGCGACTGATTGAGACTATGGGAGAAACGGGCAATTTGCTCAAACGCCAGGTAGTGAGTCCTTAGAGATCAGTAAAAGAATTTGTATTGTAGTCCATCATGACGCAAAAATACAAGCCCTGCACTACTTTCTCAAAACCCATTCTTATACCACTCCCTGATCAACAGGATCCAAGTGTCGATACCACCACCAATAGTGCCAATAATCCATCCCTCGTCTAAATCTTCGCAGCATGCATAGCGAAATGCTGTTTCGTCGAAAGATTTCTCAGCAGGGAACATCCGAAGGCTTTGTGGAAGAGCTGGTACGATAGCAAGGGCTGTTTGATTTCCTGTCTGGAGCTCTTGTTGTAGCATAGAGTCTTCTGTAATTCTCGCATAGAACGAAGGATCTCGCCAGTAAACGTGCTTTATGAATGTTACATATAGGACAAGGCCGACTTCATCTGGACGAGTTTTATCCTGGTGTAACTTGATAAAAATGTGAGGGTTGCGTTTGCAGAATTTGCATGCTGATTCGAGGTTTGGCACCCATTCCCGTTCCCTTGCGCCGCGGTCCTTCAGAATGATAGTGGTCAGATTTCTGTGTTCGATCGTAGAAAGCTCGATGAATTTCAAGAACCGTCGCAAAACGCTCTTGTCAAGTTCCCGGTGGTTGCGGATGATGATCAAGTTGTATCTCAAACCAAGACCCTTGGTTACGGTATGCAATTCGCGATTGACGAATTGGAGCTGATTAGCGAGGGTATAGTCAGGATATCTTACTCCAACGTTGCGCTTTTCCATGTCATCTGACACAAGCATCTCATCCTCCAGCGTTTGGTCTTCTTCGAGACAGAAGTAGCCCATACCGCAAGTATCCTGACTGTACACCAGGCCTAGCGGCTCGGCGAGAGCAAACTTGCATGTTCTGTTTCAAAGCTCACCAGGGAGAATGAGCAGGTAGTTTTCCATCATCGATGGTGAGATGGGAAGTGGGCTTTGATGCTCGCCGTGTATCAAAGCAAACTGCGAGCTCAACAACGTCATGAATTAAAAAGTGGCACATGCGACCACCCAAATTTCCACTCCGCTCGTTCTACAAATCAAATCCTGCGATTATACTGACCAAGTCTGACTGTAGCCCTTGCGAATTTGGCTAACATGTACGTTTACATGGCACTATCATATCTACAATTTCCACTAGCCCAGAATGTGAGTGAATGGAAACATAGAGTCTCCTGGGCGGATGAGAAAGGTGGAAGGGAATGTTATATTCGTGATGAAGATTCCAGCTTCATCTAGAAAATTGAAGAAATGACTTGTCACTCAGATTGTCAACTCTCTAATAGTACATTCAAGTTCAAATGTTCTACTTCTTAAGCCATACTTTTGCACTTTCCTCGCTGAACTGCTCTCTTGCACCTCAATAATCAAAAACATCAACTTTGGTACAACATACCACAAAATTACACAAGATGTGCACACGGTACCATTACGGCTTCTTATTATGTGAGAGGAACGGTCGTAAGTGCAGGTTTGTAGAAGAAAAGCCTTGCGACGCGGGCAACTGTCCTGATACTGGAGTTGAACATCAGTGGCGGTGGAAGAGAGGCATGTGTACAGCCCACGGAGGCAACGCGCATGAGGGGAAAGACAGAGGTACGGAAGTTTGGACATGGCACGGCGATAAGCCGAGTGAATGGCATGGTACAGTTTGTATTACGATGTGAGCGAGGACTCGGGAATATGAGGAAGACATAGTAGAAGATCTATCACTTTGATTACCATGAACTCAGACCTTGTATATCCGTATACCGTATATTTGTTTGATATTTCATAGGTGTTCGAGATCACTGTACGATCCAGGTCTACATCAATATTAATTCTGTCGGTGTGGATATCGTGATATTTACATCTTGAGACACTATCAACATAACACTCTGTCGGATGTTGCTTGTTGTAGTTGTATCATGTCTATTCATCACTTGGCTTTCTAACATACCGAAATTCGAGCGTTAGACCACACAGTTGCTGGAAAATGTGGCTCAAGATTCTGGCACATTAGCGGAACGAAAATAACATCATTGCCACAGTTCTGTCACTACAGCATCAGAAAATATAAGATCTTGGTTTTTCGTAACGTTGTCTTCGATGTAACAGGAAGACTTGCCGAGTCACTGTAATCTTGAGCCATATTTTCCTGTAAACAAGTGACACACTAAATCGGTGTTGTAATTCATGTTTTGCGCTATGTTTCAGGTACGCGACCTCAATCGATCTAACTCTTCGGCTTGACGTTTCAGCACTACATATGCAAAGCTTGCATGCTTGATCAGGAGCTCTTCAATGGCAGGCTTCTGTAGTAGCTTGATATGTGATGTGATGGTGAGAATGAGAACTTCTCGCAAACCAGCGTCTTTGTCCACAGTGGTAACAAGAGCATGCTCTGCAGCCGGAGGAAACTCCTCGTCCTCCCAGTACACTCTGCATCCGCGTGCAAACTTCTCACGAGCAAGTTCTTTCAAGCCTGCAACGCCATACTTGTCGGCAATCTCGTACATCTTGGCGTGAACAAGGAGTTGGCTGGCATCTCCTTGAGGTGGCGCGGACGTACAATCTTGACACATAAAGTTACGACACTTTTCTCCACAAGTGTCAGATGTGCAAACATGGTGAGGACAGACCTTGTAATCGTCGCCTGGGCAACCTGGTTGGCAAGTATGAGGAAAATCGTAAGAATATCCGCTCTCTGTCTTCACCGCCACGTAAACTACTCCAGGCAGCGATCTTTTGTTGTCTGGCAGCTCAGGCTCGTACTCAAATTTGTAAAAGTACTGCATGAGCAGCTCGATGACCGCCGGATCATCTTCTGGCAGGTCGATCTTTGCTTCGGCGGCTTCCTGGTGTTGCCCACTATGTCAGCAACTCTAGATTGAGCATTCTGTTACTGTTGTAAACTCACTTTGCCAACAGCAAACTTCTCCGCTGTTCGGAAAAAGCTCGATAGAGAGCAAACAATAGCCTTATGCACATTGTAGGAGTTGTTACCGCAGGTAATGATAAGGTCTGAGTATTCGCCGGAAACAAGCAAGCTATCTCAAGTCAGACCGATGGCTACAAAGATTAAAAGATAGTTGTACTTTTGGAAGCTTGCAACAAGCTCATCACTGATATAATTGGTCATCGTCGCGAGGTACGCACCTACAATATTGTGTGTTGTGGAGAACACCGACAGGTTGACAGGTTGGAGCAATCTTACGTCGTAAATAGACTGCGGGGTAGTGGCGTGAAATTGCCCATCTTCAGTGTAAATCTCAGACCAGGTCACACTATATACCTCTCACTATAACATTGCAGTAAATACAGATGTTGGCAGATATCGAAGCTAAATCGTTGGTTGTTCTGGCAAGAATTCAAACAGCCAACTGAGAAGAGGAAAGAGTCCTGAAACTAGACAGTTTGTGTCTTGGACAAGGCAAGATGTTTAGAGGATGTCCTCCACATGAGCGTGCGTTATAATGTAGTGCCTGAAATCACCCTCTCCTTAACCAAAGTCAACGTAATGTTCAAGCTGCGTATGTTCATCGCCTTTTGAAACCTTGACACTATCTGAATGTTCAAAATGAACTGCGTTCCTACTTCCATCCGGCTTCGGTCTTCATCTTGAGTACTCCGAAAGCCAAACCATTGAACTCTGTAAGCAAAGTCTCGATCTCCGGCTTCTTGACTAGATCAGACATATGGTCGGCAATGGTCTTGGAAACGATATCGCGAAGCCCCTTGTCGTGTTCAGGCGTGGTGGAAAACGCGTGATGAGCAGCTATAGGAAACGCGCAGTCGTTCCAGAAGCGTTGACAAGCTTTGCTAAACTTCTCAATGACTAAATCTTTAAGACCCATAATGTTGTACTTGTCAGCAATCTCATACATCTTGGCATGTATAACAAGCTGATCAGCCAACCCGTCAGGCGCAGGGAGAGGAGGTGTGCAAAGCTCGCAGATGAAGTCCACGCAGTTTCGGTTACAATCTCGACCACAGGTATGATGAGCGCAGAGCTTGTCGTTAGTACCACATGAATACAACCATTGACCTAAAAACACGTCTTCTTCCCTGTAGCAGGTGTGAGACTGATTGCTCCGCTTGCCCTTCTTGCTTGATTTCAGAGTTTTCCTAGGCGGCTGGGCGTCGATCTCTAGAAGAAGTGGTTCGTACTCAGCCTCGTACAGGTACTGCACTAGTAATTTGATAGTCGCCGGGTCGTCGTCAGGCAGTTCGATCTTCCCTTCTTCGTGCTCCTAGAGTTTGACCGGCATTGAGCACTACTCAGCTTCCAAAAAAACATATATGAAGGGAGCTCACCTTCCCAGGGAATTTGATAGCGGAAGCAAAGAACTCTGCGCGCGAGCACACGATGTTCTTGTGGACCTTGTATGAATCTGGTCCGCATGTAATGATGAGGTCGGAAAATGATCCGGAGGTGAGGAACCTGTGACTAGGTCAGCAAAATTATCATGAACAGTATTTAGCGACATACCCCTTCACGGTAGCTAGCAGTTGTTCACGGGACGCGTCCGCCATCGTGGTTGATGGGGAAAAGGTGCAGTAGTGCGGGGAATAAACAAAGCGAATGCGACGTCACGTGGCGTATGAACGTTGGCGGAATACCTTCGACACCCTAGAAGGAGTAAGGCCTAAAAGGCCTGGAAGATTTGTTCAGAATGACTGCGTACGCGCGAGTCTAGCCAAGAGACTAGACTTTTAGCGCCAACATCATAGTTAGAACGTGTGCAAGAGTAAGTGAGCGTTGCAATACAGAGTTATACATATATTTGTCTATATTTACAGTGTTATTGTACTAATTATCTTGTATATTGTCCGCAGACTTGCAAGATCCAAGGTGGTGTTTTGATGTTTTGGGTCTAATGCTAGACTTCTTTTGGGGTGTCGAAGGTATTTTTCAGGCCACCGATATCTGCATCTGACACGCACAGACCACTGTACATGAACTTTCCGCGAACATGAATGCAAGTGAAGAGAGTTGGAGAGCGCTGCAGAGTCGTAAAGACAAACTCAATGTAACATCTCCAGAAAAAGGCATTGAAATGACATACGAAACTCAGTGAACAGAACCTACTCAATCTCGAAAAGGTCGTCCATCTAGATTTCAATACTCAGGTTTCTAGATCAGTCTCCAGAAGTTGGTCAAGTGGAATACAACCGATGATAGAGCAACCTCTGTACGCACTCGCACATGTTGACACCACGTACGAAGCTCCTACTGAGTCTTCTACCGCACACCCCAGCCAAATTCGTCGGCCTTCTTGAGCAATATGGAAAGAGACAAGCCACTGATCTCCTTTATCAGAGCTTGAACCTCAGTTTTACAGATCAGTTCTATGTGCTTGCAGATGATACCACTGACTACATTTCGTAACCCCTTGTCTCCATAGTTGTTGAGAGGGCGTAATTCGCAGCCACTGGAAATGCATTGTCGTTCCAAAAGGCTTCGCAGCTTCGTCGAAATTTCTCCTCGCACAGGTGCTTAAGTCCTGCCACGTTGTATTTGTCGGTTATCTCGTACATCTTGGCGTGAATGAGGAGTTGGTCTGCAGATCCTCGAATGCACGGCTGTGTACACTTGCTGCAGTAGAAGTCCTTGCAATTGGAGTCGCATTGAATAGTACAGATATGATGAGGACAAAGCGAATAGGCATCGCATTCATCCCTCCAGCCGATGATGCAAGTATGAGGGAAATCATACTAGTAAACGCCATATTCCGAACTGCGTCTTTCGCCTCGATTGATAACTATGCTGGAAGCGCCCCGTGAAGCGATGAGCGTGGAATCCTGAGCGACCATGTGGTTCGGATCGTATTCGCCCTCATAGAGATACTGCAAAAGCAGGGTAATGATGGCAGGCTCGTCGTCCGGAAGATCAACCCTACTTTCTTCCGCCTCCTACACCGCGTTAACATCATCCAAGGTAGTAGACAATGAACTTTACCTTTCCGCCAAACTTGACAGCTCGCGCAAAGAAGTCTGCCTGTGTACAGACGATCATCTTGTGGACATTGTGGACATCGCTTCCGCATGTAATTATAAGGTCGGAGTAGTCGCCTGATGTGAGACAACTGCAGCAGTGTGATCAGCAAATGTTGTAAGTCACCTCTCGATGAGAACGACGAACTTTTTGACCAGTTTCAATACTCGTTCCGCAGAAGATTCTGCCATTCTGGGCGTAGACAGAATGCCGTGGCGGATATTGAGTAAAGACTTGTGGAGGGGAAGACACGCCACAAGTTTCGCGACTGTGAGGTGCCCGGTGTGTGGCTGCCAAGGTTTCAAGTACTGTTTGCGGTTAACTCCACGGATGGAAAGTTGGAGAAGATCTGTAGAGCGGATGGTATAGTGAAAGCGTAAATTCTTAACGGATGCTCCGCACTAGGCACAACCAGAGAGGTACGAAAGCCGCAAAGTGGCCACAATATAACACAAATAGCCTTACAGCACAAGAGAGTGATCGTTGTTACAAGGCTGCAGGTATTCAGCGTGGTAGTGTGGAAGCGAACGATACGGAGAAAATGACCTGAGAGTTTAGGACATGACAAATAACTTCAAGAATTGATTTTAGAACTATCAGATGTTGTATGCTCTCAAGAACTGTCTCACAACACCCAAGCCGTTGTTCGTGTGTCGTTGATGAGTGATCGCTCGACATCCTGGCTTCCTGATTGCTTTGATACGAACTGTAATGCTCATTCGACGTGTTCTCACTTTAGCCAACCATTCTTGTCCGCCTTCTCCTTCAGGAGTCTGAACGCCAATCCATTGAATTCCGCCATGGGTGCTTCGATCTCGGGCTTCCTTAGGAGAACCATATGCTCCGAAATGGTCTTGCACACGATTTCGCGCAGGCCCTTGTCGTGGTCAGGAGTGGTGCAGAATGCGTGGTCGGCCGACTCTGAAAACTCTGGATCGTTCCAATAAGCCGCACAAGCAAGTTGAAACTTATACTTTGACAACTCATTTAGACCCAGTAGAAGTTATTTGTCCCCAATGTCGTATACCTCAGTATGTATGAGGAGCTGGTCAGCTGTACCATACAACGGGGCGTACTCGTCGCCTTTGAAATTGATGCAGTCGAAGTTGCACTGCTCTCCGCAATATCGATGCGGGGATACCAAACGGTCTGATGAATAGTGAGCGCAACGGGAGCCACCGGGAGGAGAATTGCAATTGCGCGGCTGCTTTGCTATAAAGATGTCGACGAGGGCGAGTAAACATCTTTAGAGAAGTGAGGTTCATACTCAACTTCGTAGAAATATTGAATTAGCAGTTTAATGACAGCCGATCATTCGTCTGAGCAATGGATCTTGCCCTCAACTGACTCCTGCGTACCTGTTGGAAGTGGCCCCATCATTCGTTAGATTCATCAATACTTGGTATTCGAACAGGAAGTTTGATAGATTTGGCCGACGAACTCGAAGCGTGTGCTCACAATGACCTTGATTGTATCGGTTCCGCAGGTCACTACGAGATCGGAGAACTCGCCTGTCTTGAAGAAGCTCGTGTAGAAGGTCAGATGACGGTAGTTATGTAGAGGCGGAGGAACCGTTGGGTCTTACCTCTTGATATCCGTTAGTAGTTGCTTGAACGACACGTCTGCCATGTTGGGTGTTGAACTGAGTGATGCAGGTCTCTTGAAGTTGAATTGCATCTCATCTGAGAGGAAGATAGATTATGTACATCTGTCTGGGCGCTTCTAGGGTAGATTCTAGAATAACCTATCAATATCTAACTTCCAAGTTCAATTGGGCACAAGAGGTCTTTCCGCGTATATATGTGAGCTTCATAAAGTGATGTTGATGTGCTATCAAGAATTCACTTGAACATTGACATTTGAACTGCAATGAAAGAGCTGCTTGGCTCGAAGAAAGAGCAAACCGCAGTTCAACGACCTTGCAAAGAAATAGCGACTTATCACTGTACTCCAGAACTTGTCTTCTTAGGTCTAACTGGATCCTGCAAACACAGAATTTACAAGATGACACCTTTTATGATATGGGTTTCCTCACTTGAGAACATCCTGTGCTAGAACGGAGCAAAAAGCACCTACCACAATCTAAAGGCTCCCAATACTATGCAGTACTTATACGTAAAGTTGTGTAGGTGACAACACTGGGTTACATGATAAGGTAGTGATGTTCATACCATGCTTTCGACATCGCTATGCAAAAGCTATATTCAGCGTTGGGTAAGCTCTGGTGTTCTTGAGTCTTTTGGTTGTTTAGCATGCGCTTCTCTTATGCTGCAGTAGTTACCACGATACCTACTACAAGATGTATTCTTACCTTTGGAAATCCTCCACCTGTCCCAGCTATACGCTAGTTCCTCGTGAATGATAGCTACTCCATGTTTCAAAGGCCACCAACTCACCCACCCACACCGTGCTATACACACATATCAGCAGCTACAAAGGCGTGAAAACCATCTGCAGCGGCGGAATCCACATAGTCAGGGTCTCCTTCTCCCCATCCGCAAAGGCCACACCATCCTCCCCGGGCGCGAAAGCAATGCTATAACGAAGAGCAAGACAGCTAATCAGCATGCGCAGTTGCATAATCGCCAAATTCCTACCCGAGCACATGAACGGGCCCCGCTGAAAAGCTAAGTAAGCCGCCGTATCTGGCGACAACGTCTCCCATCGCTCGGGCACGAATTCCGTCGCCTCTTCGAAATACCGCTCATCCCTGTGGATGGTGTACGTCGGCACGTTGATGATGGTGTCTCCCGGGATGAAGACTTCATCCACCTGCAGTCCTTGTGGGGGCGTCTGCCGCAGGAAGCCCATTGGGACTGCGGGTCGGAGACGCAGCGTCTCGTGGATTATGTAGTCTACGTACGGAATGCTCTTGGCTTTTTCGTAGGTCCAGGCGCCGTATCCGCTGGGGAATTCGGCTGCCATGAGGCGCTGGAGCTTTTGGTAGACGGCTGGGTATTTGACGAGAAAGTATAAACTACGTCCACGTTAGTCTGGGAGAATTGGTTCAGTGGAATCGTCACATGCAACTTACGTGTTTGTGAACGTGATGGCAACAGTATCGCTTTGTGTGTGATGATTAGCTCCAAGAGTCGGGACACGGTGAGCAGAAAGGCAACTCACCTGCCAGCACTGATCAAGGTTCGTACATCCTCTTGGATAGCCGATTCGGTCGGAGGAGCCGATCGGTCACCCTCATCCATGGCTTTGATTAGCCAGGTCATCACATCGCGCGGTTCCTGTTTGCTGTTTGCCGCACGTTCTGCTGCTAGGGACTCTCGTTTCAGGCGCAGCTGCTCGTAGCACCACCCGGCGAAGCGCTCAAATTTACCCGTGGCGCCCGGAACTACGCGTAGCATATTCATGAGCCATGGTAGGGTGGTGACAAGTCCTGCTATGGACATGGCTTCGTGCAGACTGGCAATGGCGGGATGTTCCTCGCCAGTGCTACGATGCGTGCCAGTTAGCCATTGCTATGGCAGTTTTTCTGAGAGAGTTTCGCAGATATATACGTACTGGAGCATTTTGAAGTCCTCGGAGAAAGCAATATCCCCCATAACATCGAACGAATAAAAGACACTCTGCTGAGTTATATTGAGGGGTTCCATAGTCCCGATGCGCGCCAGTAACAAATCTACCTTGGCCTTGACACGACTCTCATAGACGCTCAGAGCTGGTATCAACAGTCAGCTACAGTAATCAGAGGCGAGGATAGACTTTCCACTGGGTGATCATACCTCGAAAGCCAAGCCCTTTGTCCCAGGCTCGGCGTCTAAGTCTATGCTTCTCTTTGCTCCGAATGTTCTCGATGCCAACCTTGTCAGCATCGCCTGAGTTCTGATCGTACCATGTCGCCTTCTCGCACGTCGACATCGGGCCATAAACCAGATTGATGGCCGACGCGCGGATCACGGAGATCTCGCGCGGCCCGGTACGAACAAAGTCGCCATAGCAGGCATGAAGCTTCTGGACGTGTCGGTGGTACCGCATGTTTGTTCGTTTGATGATGATCATGCTTTTCGGCGTTACGTGTCAGAACCTGGTACCAAACAAAACGTGAAACTCCCATTTTTTTAAACTTACTGGTATGCATTCGAGAGTCTGGCAGCGAACGGACCCGGGAACCGGCGTAATTGGTGAAAAAAGGCGCGGTATACCAGCATGCTGCTGTATAGCCCAAGGAGGAAGGCCGAACCTGCCAACCAAGTGCGCAACAAGGCGCTCGTAACACCTAAACTGGAAAATGTCACGTAGTTGACGAAGAGTGATGCAAGCACTCCTAGGTACGTAAACACCAGTTCCCATCCCCGGTTGTCGATTTCGAGGTGTCGGATGGTTTGGTGCAACAGCAGGCCCAGCAGCGCCGAGAAACCAGCTGTCGATTGCCATGACGAATCGAGGGCTGCGGATAGATACGACATGGTTTGTTTGTCACCGTCAGTGTATTCTCTCTTCTGTGTGGGTTTATGAGCAATGACAGGTGAATTCCCAAGCGCGTCTCAAGATGACGGTAACAACGGTGGCTTTGAAGCTTGCAACACGATGCGTTTACTGAGCACTCTACCAATCGGAGAGAAAGGATGCCAATTCGTGGTTTATGTAAGTGCTTCTGAAGGAACTTGTTTCAATTCGTTCGTTTACTTCCCAGATAGAATAAGTACTCGGCGAATATACCTAAGTTCACGATTGTCCCCGGGACATATAGTTCCGGCTCACGTCACCCGTCTTGCGTTTATCTATTTTCCTGCAACAAAGTACCCGAGATCCTCTTTGCGCTTCGTCGAGATCACAGTAAGCCGGAAAATAGCATTTGGTCGTTGCCGCGAAGATCTGCAGTTACTACAGAAGCAGTATGGGAACAACCCACTCCCAAGCAAGAATAGAGCACTGAGAGACTGATTAGATAAATAGAGATCTTTTGAAATACATGAGAGCGGCTAAGTGCACGCAGGTAGAAGTGTAGAAAACGCTTGTTTCCAGCGAACTCGTTAGAATCAACTTGATTAAGCATCGCAAAAGTTTGACCGCCAGTTCTCACAACCCTGGCTTTAGTCCAAAATAGTCGGGGTACTCGAGTTTTCGTGACTCGTCCGGTTTCTGCGACTTGCCTGAGTACTTGCTAATTTGGGCTCCTGCTGCATATCCTGCAATGGCTTGTAAAGTCTTGACCCCGAAATTCGACTCGGGGAGCCAGAGTCTGACCATCCAAGTAGACATTTCAGACTTGCTTGTGATGAATGGCCTCAGAACGCGCTCATACTCCTTTGCTGCCTCCTCGGCGTTGAATTTGTCAGACGTTTGTCCGTTTTTCTTCCATTGTTTCTCAATCTCTCCCGCCAGCACATAAGCTCCAATCAGCGCAGCCGTTGTTCCCACTCCACCTCCAATGGCTCCCGGACAGAACGCCGCATCACCAAGTAGGACAACCCGCCCCTTAGACCATCCGCCTTCTGGTAGGCGGATCTGGCTCATGCGCTGGCAATACAAATCGTCGGCCTCTGAGGAGTTCTCCAGGTCGTTTAGAAACCTGTCGAGTTGCCAGCCTTGCGTCCCTTTAAACAGGTCCACCAGAGCCGTCTTTTGGTCTGCAAGTGTCTTGGCCGCGTCGAGGGCTGCGAACCCAACACGGGTGGCGAGGTATACTCTGATGTTCTCTGGCTTGTCCCTGCGGGTCATGATAGCCTTGCCTCCTGGGATATGGCATACACTCCAATCGAAAGTGTCATCCTCCCGAGACGGCGCTGTGAAGTAGGCCATGTAGACGCCAAGATCGCGGTGCAGATCTGGAAACGAAGTGCCTAGTAAGAGTTTGCGCGTGGCAGAGGCGATACCATCGGCACCGATGAGGATATCGAAGTCGTCCCGAGTGCCATCGGATAGTGTGACATGAACCTTCCCGCCCGATGATCCCTCGTCCTGAGTAAAGTGCTTGACGTGAGAGTCGAACAGGTATTTCACCCCTCCAAGGTTCTTAGTCGCATCGTAGAGAATATTGACGAGGTCTCCGCGCATCACTTCGATCTCGTGTGTCGGGCTGTATGCGGCCTTACCGCTGGTGTCGACCGGAAAGAAGGCTTTTGTTTTGCCTTGATAATCGACGAACCGCATCCCAGGCTCGGGGCATCGAGCGGCCCGCAGAGCATCTTCTATGCCCATCATTCTTGTTATGACAATCCCCTGTCCGCTCAGATCGACTTGTTGCCCGGTTGCCCGAAGCGTGGGGTTACGCTCCACGACGGTAACATCACAGCCGATGCGCGAGAGCCAGAACGCTGCAGCTGGGCCGCCGATGCCTGCTCCAGCAATGAGAACCTTGAGAGAAGACATGATGCCTTGTGAACGATAAGCGATGGCGGTTGTGCTCATGAATGGAGTGTGTGAGAATAGTGTATAGTAGGCAATGCAACGATACTGTATTCAGGTGGTCAAGATATCAGACGAACAAGTGTGCTTGAGAGTTGGACTGATTAATGAGGGATGAACCCTTGGGGATGTGGAATATACATATTGATGTGTCACAGGCCAATAGCGGCGTAGTTCATTAGTAATAGACAGTCTGAATAGAAGGCAAACATAGGAAAATATCTGTAGATGATAGTCGTCAAGAAATGCTCAGAAACTAGCCCACCCATGAAACTTCAACTAAGCCCGACTAGGAAGTGTGGTGAAAGCTATGACAAAGCTTTAAACTTTATAAGCGAGCACGCTAATCCAGGAACGGCTAGCACACTGCATGCGCACGTATCCTATCTTGGTGCGACCGGGCCTACGGCAAAGAAATGCTTTGACGAGGTGGTTGCCTGAAGGGTGCTTCAACAAATCTGGCATGTGGCCTGATTGAACGCGCAAGCAAGCCGGCGAGGCGCACATAAGCCGGAGTGCGTAATGCATGTAAGCCCGGGAGGCGCATACAAGCAATTGTATAGATAGGACAAGCTCCTTCGACCGCCGTCTCGGCGGAACATCGACGCCGTTCTTCCAGACCCTCCCAGCAACGTCGATCGAGAACGTTATTCAATCACGCGATCCTGCTCCACTACTGTGGTACCCGGTAAATGCTAGGCAACGATGCTGAGTAGAGAACGCCCCTCAGATACAGCGGCGGGATCCCCAAATCCATCCGAGACGAGGCGGCGGAAAACCCGCAAAGGCACCCACAGCTGCTGGGAGTGCAAGCGGCGCAAGGTCCGGTGTTCGTACTCTATCCCGTCGGACCCCTGTTGTATCGGATGTCGGAGGCGTGGCACAAGATGCGTCAGCCAACAGGACGTTGATGAGAGGACTGCAACAGCATCGTCGATAGGAAGTACAGATCGACACTTGAGTGATCGCATGGTGCGTGTCGAGGCCCTGCTCGAACAGTTGGCCAGTCAAATCGTCGATGGCGGGAACAAGAATTCGTTTGCTGGAAACGAGAATCCATCTGGTGGTAATGGTTCAGAGGTAAGTCGCAGCTTACTAACCTCATCTTATACAGACGAAATTAACGTGTTTGTAGTCGGATTTGGCAACGTCGTGCTCGCCGCAAGAGATGCAGTCATTCGAGCACCTTTCGCCAATGACAATGATAATGGACACTCCATTTCGAGTTACGGGGTATGAGTCCGTCTCGGCCGCACTGTACGCTGCATTGCCGCCTCGCGAGGACATCCACTTGATGATCAAGGCAGGCCTCGATGTCTCCCTCCATAGACTCATGACTCATTCTCTCGCTGTGCTCTCCCAGTGTCCAGGCGGATGGAGTGCGGGTCTGGCCGACATGCCAAATGCAGGGACACATCCAACCCTACTTGCCAAGTATATGCTGATCTTGGCCACGTGTCTGCAATTTGCACATCCAGAACTCCATGCAGACGAGATCCACCGTCTGTCAGAACCGCCGCGGCAGCTTATGCGTCGCGTGGCCGACACAGCTATAAGTCTGGTAACGAGCAAGGACGAATTCCTCAACTCCGTCGAAGCGTTAGAGTGCGTCATGCTAGAATCCTTGTACTTGGCCAATGGCGGCAATCTTCGTCGTGCCTGGTTTGCTTGCAGGCGCGCCATGGTGGTTGCACAGATGCTTGGTTTGCACCGTGGCGATTGTCAGCAGCCACCGCACCTAACGACTACAAGTCAGACCATCGTTCCGAACTTCTTCTGGTTTCGAATAGTCTGTACTGACCGCCAACTATGCCTTATGCTTGGTCTGCCGCAAGGCTCTTTAGACGTGTCCATGGCCACTGAAGCTGCTCTTGCAAACGATTCACCATCGGGCCAATTCGAGCGCAAGCAGTGCGTCATTGCCTCGCGCATACTCGCGCATAACGAGATGTCAGGTGTTGCTACTAATGATGACTTTACGGCTGTCTTGGAACTCGATTCCGAGCTCCAACAAGCCGCAAACGAGATGCCTGGCCAGTGGTGGCTGGTTCCAAACCTCGCCAGCTCGATGCAAGATAAAGAGAAGACGTTTTGGGAGATGTTGCGTCTAATTGAGCAGATGCTTTACTTCAATTTGCTCAACCTACTGCATCTCCCCTACATGCTACGATCCAACAAACCCAGTGCAGAGGAGACTGATAAGAAGTTCAATTATGAATACAGCAAGATGGCTAGCATCAACGCATCGCGCGAGTTGCTGACGCGCTTTATTATGCTCCGCTCTTTCAACCGCGTTGCTTTCTTCTGTCGAGCTGTTGACTTCTTCGCCATCACAGCTGCAATGACTTTAGTCATCGCACACCTCGACGGGCACCGCAAGCAGCGACAACGGCAGTATGAGGGAGGTGTGGCGGGAATCAATGTGCTTGCACATCAGAGGAACGGCGACCGAGCCATGATGGAAAAGGTTCTCGAGAATATGGAGGGCGTTGCGAAGCTAAGCACTGATGCTCTCAGTCAACGCAGCGCGAGTCTACTGAAAAGCCTGCTAGCTCTCGAGGTTGACGCTGCGGAGGGCAAACCCGGTGCCTCAGGAACAGAAGCTGGGCATTCCCTCCAGCTCGGTATTCCCTACTTCGGTACTGTCAGGATTAGTAGCGACGGCGTAGTCGTATCCATGGAATCTCCCCCGAGCTACACGACGGAACAGGTGGATGGCTATAGAGATTTCAGCGTCCTACCATCGGTGCAAACCCCGTTGGATGGTATGGCAGCAATATCTGCTACACCTCAGCAGACGCTACGCATTCCACAAACTTTGTCTCCAGTAGTGCATTTTCCTGAGCCAACGATGCAGCAGTCGTTCGCGCCGCCATATCCCACCGCCATCAACGATGTCCTACATCAGCAATATCTGTACCCCGGTTTGACAGCTGATGCCGATGAATGGACATTTCAAGGGGTCGACACGGTGTTCTTTCACAGTCTGATGAGGGGGTTTGAAGGTGAAACTGTATATAACACTGGTCCTATTTAGACTAATTAGAGTTGTCTTCTGTGATCTTGAAGGTGCATTCGGATAGAACTCAGATTCTCACGTCAATACTAGATAGGTAGGTTACTTGAAAAAGTAAGATTATGCACTCAGCTATCAGTTGAGCATTCTACCTCAAGCTGAAGCTCATGTTTGTTCGTGTCTCTAACTTTCGATAAAAGAAAGATCTTCAATTTGCGAGTAAGGATCTACATTTGATCTACGTAGTTTGAAATTGATTGCTCTATTTATCGTTCATTACAGCTCTGGCAAATATACCGGTAGCGACAGGTTTCAAGGATGAATCATCACATGAACTTTTTGCGCCTTGATTGTAGAGAGGAAGGGAATCCATGAAGACTTGGAATAGACCATTTTCTCGTATATGTATATTGAGAACGAGTGTTGAATAACTACGTGCTGGAACCTTGGAAAAGAATCTGAAAGAGCACCTAGGCTACTACATCGATAGGCTTGTGAACGGTCTCGGCGGCGAAGTGTCCATTTTCTTTTACCCTGTTCATCACTGGCTCCCGTTTGATGAAAGGCTCAAGAAGGCGAGCGACCGCCTCCCGAATCGGGAACCGAATATTGCCCCGAACACGCTCAAGATACCGGTCCATCATAGGAACGTAGTGCAGACCTGAGGAGGCGTATCGCCTCAACAAGTACGCATGCGGTTGGGTTTCCAAATATTGCATGCACCTCACATACACCCAGCGTAACTCTCTCTTCAGCTGTTTCCTGTTTCCTGCCACCGTTTCAGTCTTCTCGCCTTCCAGCACCCCCATGGCTTCTTTGGCCATGTCCATGCTCAAGCACTGGGCTGTTGAAGCCATTTCAAGAGCGTTGTCGTCCATACCTCCAGATACAACTCCCTCACTCGCCAACAGCAGTGCGGCACAACCAAGTGTGTTTGCAGTCATGACTCGATACTGAGTCATCAGGCTCGTTTTGGAAACGAGCAACGGGCGCAGTCCAGGGTCAACCTTCTCCAGATACTGGGTGACCATCTGGCGCCAGAGAGTCATCTCCGCGAGCTTGACTTGATTTGAGGGGACGCCCTCAGCCAGCAGCCCGTCACGGCAATCAGCCCAAGTGTGTCCGAGAAAACGGAAAGTGCCGTCAATGAAGTCTCTGGGATGGACTTGCACATCGTCTGGAATGGCAGCGAATGCAACGTAGATCAATTTCCAGTAGTTGGTGGGCTGCAATGATCCACCCCAATGCACCCACCAGCTGAGAGTGTCGCGCATGATGTACAAGGATACTTGGTCAACGTCCACGTCGCCCTTCTCACTGGTGATTGTGTTGTCGTCGACGTGACGGACCGGCGCGTTCTCGAGATACTTGTCGATATGTTGAATCACGCCCGTGATATCCTGGCATGAACAGGGCGGTGCACAAGTATCTCCCAGAACGGAAAATAAAGGCATAGCCTCCTCGCTGATCTCCACTCCGTAACGAATGCTGTCGTTTTTGGCTGGGACTTGTTTCATGGTGCAGACGTGGAGATTGTAGCGCAGCGGAGCAGATCCAGGGATATAGCCGTCCCCGAAGTACTGCTTGAGTGTCTCCCACATTTCCTTCATGTTGGAGGCTGGAGGGTGGTCAAGGCGTTGGAGCACGAGAGAATTTCAGGATACAAGGTTTGAAGTAGTAATCGACTTGGTCAATATGCTTTTGGTTTGATGGTGAATCCAGGATATGTACGTGGAAATTGTGATTTAAGTAAGTTCTTGACTCCAGACTAGTGATAAGGCAAAATGAGATAATCTGTCACCAAAATGTCTAAGAACAAAGAACTATTTGCTTACCATGTCAGCGCTGGTAGTGTGGAAAGGGCTTAGAATTGTCGTGCGGCGTGTTTATCGGAGTATTTTCGAAGGTAAACGACATCTCGGACAGTTTCCAGAAGCCACAGCTGATTACACACCGTGATAGCGTAGGTCAGTAGGAAACAATCATTCAATCGCACATATGCTCACTGTCTGCACGGGTTGGTGGAAGCCACACTTTAGAAAGAGGTTCAAACATTTGTATTTCTGACAACCAACCATTGTTACACAGCCTTTGCACTATCGTTACGCTATCTCTAAGCCGTATCACGAGGCCAAAGATAATCCCGCCCCCGACTCGAGAATGAGTTCCGGAAGATTGACTCAAACTCCACCTTGAAGGATTTATGATCTTTTGATAACTGTCATACATCGGAACATACAGATCTGCGCATGTGCATTCGTAATCTTTCCTGGACATTCTATACGTGGGGGTTTCAATATGTGCTAGTCTTGAGCTCTTCCTCCGTGACTTTCATAATGAACTGTAACATATTCAGCAGGGACATGGTATTCTCAGTCCCAGAAAGTGCCGAGGTCAAGTCATGGCAAGCCAGCAGCCTCTGTGTTTCGTCAGATATACTGGCAAAAAGGCTCATAGGAGTGAGTAGTGCGCTGTTGCCCATCCCCATATCAGCAGTTGGGGTTGGTCTTGGCCGGCCTGTACGTTCCCAGAGATGAACCAACGCGATCGCAATGGCTTGCAGCGCCTTTCGAATCGCGACTTCTATGACTTCTGATTTTGCGTCGCCCGACAAGCTGAAGGTGCCTATCGAGACTGCCATGTTCGAGGTAACTTCGGTTTGGAAAAGGCCGCTGCTCAACTTCTGGACCGAAGATAGGAGGATTCGGATACTCATGGAGAAGAGAAGATAAGCCTCTTTGTGCTTATCTCCGTTTTGGCAATGACCGCAATGCATTACGATCTTCCATGGAATTTCGGCAAGTCTGACTCCTATGAGGACAGCGTCAATTGCAGGACCGCTGGCGTGAGAACATCGTAGATCTTGCAGATGGTAGAGCAGCTTTATCAGCTGCTGGAGACACGAACAGTCGGATGGGCCTGAGGCTATCGATGTGACTGGGGCCCCTGCTTTGCTACTAGCTAACGAGCTCCTGTAAGGACTCGGCAAGGTCGTGTAATTTGGCGGCGTAGTCACTGTGTCGGTTCCAGATCCGCCGCTATCATATCTCAAGGATTCTGATGGGTCCGACGTACTATAGTTCTGGCCAAAGTAGATCAGATATTGTAGGTGACACTAGTCTAGATGTGGGCTTACTTGAGCAAAGCGAGACGCGTCCATTCTATCTTCTGAGTTCAGATTTTCCATTTCACCCAGGTGCGAATCAAGAAGAAGACGACTGTCCGCAAAATTGTCCGCAAACGCCGTTTCGAAGTTGAAGTCGAAATCAGGTTCGAATGACGTCAAGTCGGTAGAGGGCCACTGGATGACATCTGCACTACCTTTTGTGGTTTCCGACTGTGCTTTGACGTTCTCGTTGCCGCCGTCTTGCATTAACGTCCGTTTGTTTTTGCTTCCCTTTGGTCGCCCAAGTCTATTGCCGCGACTATAGGTGCAGCGACTCTGGGAGCCGAGGCAGGTTGAGCACGGGTCGCCACCAGTGCATTTTATCTTGGATCGGTGACACGCGTCGCAAGATGAACGCAACCGGTTTGTTCTTTTTACTGCCTCACCGTTTCCCGAGGGTCGGTCTTGTTCGTTGGAGGAGTGAGGTCGGGGAGACATGCTTCGAACGCTGGGTTGGGACATCCCTGGAGCGATTGTGATAATGGAGAGTGCCAACGGTGTACAAAGTTCATGCAGGCATTCCAGCGCGTCGAGTCGTAGCATCGACAAACCCAATATGTAATCAGAGTAACCCGAGAACCTCACCTTCTCATACGTAAGTCTATTAGGCAGCCCGCTCCTCTTCTCGGTCACCGTAGTGCCGCCTCTAGATGACTTGCTCAAATGTCAGCCGAACCATTCGATCAGTCTTTGCATCTCCTGCACCAAGCGGCTACAGGCTTAGGCGACCTGCCTTTCCTCTTGATGCTACATCACTGATAGCGTTACTGAATTTTCGGCCGACACAATCGGGGTTGCGCTTTACACTCGATACCCCTGTTTCAGCCATCAGCCCAGAGTAAGACTTACCCCAGTATAAGCATCGGATCACCTAATCTTCTGTACTCTTCGTGAGGATCAAGCTCCAGTACAGCTGCAGGTAGTGCTTATAATCTCCCACCAATGCAATCGGATTGGGTCAAGGATATATGCCTATCTCATTAGTAATCTCGTACGCTGCTCAGTTACTCGTCATCACTATCCTCAGCACAAGGATTGCTTGTATACATACCACATAAACTCGTGTAGATGTCAGCTGCTAGGCCCAAATAGGCAGGCTTCTTAGCTCCAAGCAGACAATCGAGACACTGTCAGATCGCGATGTGCCCCATAAAACGCTCCCAAAACTGGCCGCTGCATGTGTGAGATGCTTATAAATATCCCCTAACCCAGTCAATTGATTGAAGCTTGGAGGCCTGTCTATTTGGGCCTAGCAGCTGACATACACGAGTTTATTCTGTACATTAAAGTGTCGGGATCGATCCTGACGTTCATACAAGGGTGTACACTGTATCTAAGGACATGCAGCTACTCGTTCTGAGATATTACCTAACAGGCAGCCGATTTCTGCCGATCTTTGACTACATTCACACTTCAGACTTTGATCATCTCTGTAGACCTGGCATTGGGATGTATCGGTCCATTTGGGAGCTACAGGTTTTCTAGTCCCAGCCCGTGCAGCCTCTTGATGCCACGTCCATGGACCGCAGCTAACATGCGGTGACGGCCGGCACGGACGAAGCGTGTGTAGGTAGATGTCGCACAACCTGAGCCTGCTGACGCCATGCAGACGGGCTGCCTAATCTGCGATCCCTTATTATGCGGACCAGAAGTGTTGGATGTCATATTAGGAATTTGCATGCGACGTGTGGGCGTGTGAGACAAGTCAAGTGTCCGGCTAGGCCCGCGCCAAGCTCCCGTTCCCCCAATGCTTGTTTTTTCATTAGCTGCATAATCAGGAACCTGATCGCTGTCTGATACAGATATTGAGCCACACACTCGGGCACTAATTGTATGTTAAAAGTCCATATTTATGTCCCGAACAAGGCCAACCGCTTTTTTGAAATCGAAAGAAAGTCACGCGATTATGCGCCGAATAGGATCGTCGTTCACGGGGTATGTCAGAAAGCTGTTGCGTGAAGACGCTGCAGAAAAGTATTAAGATGAGGTGGATGATAGGTAGGAATTGACTTTACAATCTGCAACCTGCAACCTGCGCCTGCAAGTACCCTCAAACTGCAACGAGCCCGAAACAGACAATCCCAGCCGCATATTACACCATGCGCTCTTCCATCTCATCCATGGTCCTGGCCTTTGCTGCCTTCACACAGACCCTGGCTGCCCCCACGCCCGGTAATGGATCAATCCCGCTCCCCAATCGTCTGCTACACCATTGGCCAAACGGGACCTGGGTTGAGAACATCTCAGTGCGGCCCAATGGCAACCTGCTCGTAACGACATCCACCCCTGATGGCTCGGTGTGGCAGGTCAAGGAGCCATGGAACGACAGCCCGGAAGTGGAGCTCGTGTTCAACTTCGACGAGTGGGCTGACAGGCTGATTGGCATCGGCCAGACTACCCCGGACAAGTACGTCGTTGTCGGGTCCCGCTTTTACTCGATAGACGCTCAGTCATCGCACGTCGCCAGGACGTTTTGCGCCATGGAACTTGATTTTAGCGTCAACAGCACTAAGCCGGCGGCCCGGCTCATTGCATGGATGCCTGAATCCTATCTCCTGCAGGGCGTCGCGGCCCTCCCATGGGACCTGGAAACTGTGCTTATCTCAGACCAATATGTTCTCAGACCGAGACAAACGCAGGTCGACTGGACGCCGAGTCCAGGGCAGGTGTGGTCCCTTGACACTCGTACCGGTGAATACAAGCTCGTCATGACCGATTACGCCGAGTTAAACACCACCTACGCCAAAGGCCCTGATGTTGGCATCGATGGTATCAAGATCCGCGATCACGACCTCTTCTGGGTGAACCAGGATGACTCGAACATTTACCGTATCAAGATTGACGATGCTGGCCTACCCGTTTCTCCCGGCAAACCTGAGATCATCGCTACTGCCGACACCATGTGGGACGACCTCGCATTCGATCCAGTGGACGAGAACGTCATCTGGGCCACTGGACTCAATGCTGTTTTCGCCGCAACTCTCGATGGCAAAATTGTCGCCGTCGATGGTATCGGTACGAGTGACAATCTGACCCTTCCAGGCCCTACCGCCTGTGCATTTGGAAAAACTGAGAAGGACAAGAATGTCCTCTATGTTACGGGAAATCTCCTTACTGTCCCTGAGAGTCTTCTGGATGTTAAGCTCGGTGGTTGGGTGCGTGCCCTTGATACCACTGGCTTCAAGATCTAGAAGACAACCCAGAGACCAGGAAGACCTATCCCGTCGCAGTAATGTGTTTAGTATGATAATGATTTTCCCCCTGGAACCCTTTGAGCTTGTCAATTTGCCTAGTTCTGGGCACGAGAAGGGATTTGAGGGAGAAGCTATCGCACATATTTCACAGGGTGTATATATTCTTGATGTACCGAGACCGCGAGGTGAAATACTATGTAGATTACAATTCGAAGAACTGCTTCTAGCAAATTATCATGTCCGTCACTGTGTTTTAGTGCGCGAATACATGTTCCATCTTGTGTATTTTTTTCATCCATCCCATGCAATCAGAGGGAACAAACGGTTTTTTCACTACGAGACAGTTGTCAGAAGCACGACTGACCTTGAAGAGCTACCAGACGCTCAAGACTATCCCAAGTTACTCAAACTACTGCACCAAGACAATGAATGTCGCAACGGATATATAGGATTCTGGCTGAGCGGCGCTGAATCGGTCGATCGGTATTTTGCTGCTCGACAACGAATAATTACTGTTACCTATTGATCAGATATACATACGCACATCAGCAGGCTTGACTTGAGCGAAATGCTTGATTGTCCAAAGAAAACATATGACTGTAAGTGTATTCCTTGCTTTGGCAAGAACGCTGATGCAAATGCAAAATGTGACAAAACATAAGTGAGTTAGCAAGACGATCTCATAGAGGCAGGCACTAGTTAGCGAGAGCGAATCTCTATCAGCTGGACCCTTGCCTGACACTGAGATTTGAGATCTATGATTTCATCCGGGAAGTATGTGTTACAGCTGATAAATTGGTCGGCATATATAAATGCAGCGTGACCTGTTGCTAGCATATCTAGTATTGATTAGACCTGCTTTGAGAGCCTTTACGTACTTTTTATGTGAGAGGGCATACAACTTGATCTTCACATCAACACGACAAAGTAAGATTTGGTTACCCTTCGATCAGCAAAATACAAATACATAGTACTTCTACATATATTACATCGACTCGAAAACTCGCCCGTCCATCCTTCCCATCATCGGGTTGCCACCATATCTTTGAACTTCTCAAGTGTCATCCCAATCGTAAGTGAGTGGAGTACACCTCAACCGAGCGTGGCCAGCTTGAGTGTTGAGCTGGCTCACACCTTCTTCTTCCCTTTCGGCATCCTAGCAATCCAGTAGAGCGCCAAAGCCGCAAAGATATTAAACCCAATATACACCCACAGAATGCCAAAGTTGCGCCATCTGGTATCGTATTCGGAACTGACAGCCGCTAAAAAGACGTTCGTGTCCTTGATTTTGCAATACCTGCAATCTGTTGTTGCGTTGGGGTATTGCATGTAACCGCCTGCTCGTGAGATGTACTCCGTCATATAGTTGCCGCACGTTTGGCCATCTGGGGGGCTGAAGGTGGTGAACTCTTTGTCTGTACACGTCACATTGACGTTGGCCAAACCTGTTGACAAGATAGCTGAGACCCAGTATGACAATGGCGACGCCCGATACAAGAAGATCCAGAATCCAGGCATCTGGGAAGGCGAAGCCAACACGCCGCAGAAGAAGAAGGCGAGGACAAAAAGAAAGTTGGCGATATTGCCACCGTCATCGGCCGAATCAACGAAAGAGATGCACATGTGTGTAAAGGTGGAAACCCAAACAAGAAATTGCCAAAACAAAAGCCACATTAGTGCGCCCCTCTCAGTACCTTGACCAGCAGCTTCAGCGTTCTTATAGAAGCCAATGGGGTAATAGAACAGAGCCCACATGAACACAGAGGCCAGTGTACTCCAAGGAAGCTCGGAGACAATCTGGCTAAGCATGAAGACCACCCAGGAGTATGTCTTCGCAGGACGTTCGCGGACTTCATATAGCGAGCGCTGAGTGAGGAAGTTGGGCATTTGTTGGTCGACCAACTGCCCGACGATGCTCATCATCTCGAATATAGCGAACATCTGGTTTTGAAGTCCTTGAATGCTTAGAGGTGCGTTGAAGAAGACGAGCCCAATGAACAGGCTAGTGGCGATACACAGCGTGAGTTTGGAGTAGATGTAAGACGGTGATCGCCAGGACTGTTGGAAAACACGCTGAGTAACCACTACAAACTGCTGCCAGAGAGGTGCAGCAAACTCATGGTACGAGGCAGGATCATCGTTGTCGTCTGTTGATGGTCGATTGGTGTCTGTGACTCTGAGGCGTGCCAATTCATCTTGGACAGTGCGGTACTCTTGGCTGGCTCGCCAAATCTGGGGCCAGTCCGCTTCGGAGGAAGTACCAGGGGCAGCGCCAATAGCCTCGAGCATCCACTCGGCTGGATTAGCTCCTGGTGGACAGGCCTTTGCACCGTTCAGCTCAAAGTAGTCGATAAGAGTCTTCGAGTTGTCACCAATATCTCCTGTAAGACCGGTTATTATCACATGAATTGTGTAGGCCTCTTCGAAAGAGGTGAAATCTTCGCTCTAAAAAAGAGCAGAAGGACAATGGTATTACTTACCAAAGTAAACTGATTTGCCTCCTTCAGCGAGTAACAGCAAACGGTCGAACCTCTGGAACAGCATTGCAGAAGGCTGATGAATAGTGCAGAGGATAGACTGACCAGCCTTGGAAAGCTTCTCTAGCAGATCCAAGACAGCCCAGCTGGTTTGAGAGTCAAGGCCCGAGGTAGGTTCATCAACAAACAGAAGTAGCGGTGGTTTGGCGACTAGCTCAACACCAATAGTCAGGCGCTTGCGTTGCTCAACATTGAGGCCTTCTCCGAGTACGCCAACAACGGCATCAGCATACTCTTGCATGTCTAGTAATCTGATGACTTCTTCGACGTATGCTAGTTTCTCTGCCTTTGGGGTACTGTACGGCTGGCGAAGAAGTGCAGAAAACGTCAGAGCCTATTAGAAGTTGTTAGCCTGTGTGGCCTGGATACAGATGAAGACGACACCAATTATAGGCTGCTCCAGTAGAATTGAAAGATAGCAAGGGCTACGCGAACTTACCTCTCGGATGGTAGTTGTTTCGAGATGTAGATCTTGCTGCTGAGCGTAGCCAGTTTTGCGCTGGAAGCTCTGATCACATATCTTCCCGTCGACCAACATCTCGCCGGTGATGATACCCACACCGACACGACGACTAGCTAGGCAGTCCAAAAGTGTAGTTTTTCCAGCACCAGAAACACCCATCAAGGCTGTGAGAGTACCAGGTTTGATCCAGCCATCGACGTTGTCTAAGATGCGTCGAGGTTTGCCCTTGGTCTTCAGATCGTAGCACACATTGTTCCAATGGAAAACACTTGTAGAACCCTGGAAGGCTCCAACTGCGTCGCTCTCTGGTGATCCTAGAGTCTCCAGCACAGCTGCGACTGGGCTAGATGGCGACTTCTCGGGATCGTGGCCACCCTTGGTGGAAGTATTCGGGACATAGCCTCGACGGAAGACGAGGATCTCACCCTTGGATTTCTTGGCTGTGACATACTCGCTCGCGATGAAGTACAGGAAATAATTGAAAGCCACCATTGCGATGATGATGCCGACATTGCGCCACTTGTGGCTATGCTGGTAGCTGAAAGCCAGGTTGATATGATCATCTCCGTCCACGTAAGACTGACCGGGAACGGCGCCGACAACGTCACAAGCTCCACTGTTTGTAGTGGCGTTTGCATAGTCGGGTATATAGGCAGTGCATGTAAATTGGCGGTTGTGGAACTCGTTGACCATGAGTGCTTCGTAACCATATGCCACGGGGTTTACATAGTTGATCCACCGGCACCAGGGCAGCATGTAGTCGACAGGCACGACGAATCCAGTGAATATGAGCAGTGCAAGCATCATGACCGAAGCCGGAACCATAGCTTGCTGTTCCGTTCGTGACAGCGAACCGCTAACAATTTGTCAGTTCATTCTTCAGCGCCGTCACGATCATAAATCGACTCACATGAACCTAAAGACACCTGACATGGCCAAGACAATGAGGAATACGACCAACAAGTAGAAGAAGAAGTTGCCGGGTTCTCGATGAAGATTTGTCATGAAGTAAAACACCAAGTTGAACGATATAGTGCTGGTGATCTTCATAGGCATGTCAACTAAAACAGAAGCATATGCTTCCGCCGACGGGTGGTAAAAGGCATAGCGAGATTGTTTCTCCACAATGGGCCGTTGGGCGTAGAGCGTCATGACCTCGAGAATAGAGGAGAAGGCATTGAACAGGATGGCCATGAAAAGAACGACAGAGCGGCCGTAGAATGAACCTGTATTCTGGCTCATATTGTAGAATAAAGAGGACATGATGAGAGCCATGATGGTATTCCCAACCATCACCCAGACTGCAGGCCAAGGATCCGCTCTGAAGCGCGCCCATCCGCGCCACATACAAAGCTTGACCTGTTGCCCGTACGTAAGGGTGAATGGCGAGTTGACGCGCTGTCCCGGAGCCTGGTGTTCTTTCTTGAGTTGTCGAAAAGTATCAGCGTCGGGGCCATCGATGGAATGCTTCGTTTTGTACTCGTTGATTTCGGCTTGCAGGGCCGCGTACTCCAGACTGTTCTTCCAAGCGGCTGCAAACTCGTCAGATGTCCGCGGCGGGTTGCAGTCAGGACGAGGAATGCGTTCTGCGGGGAAAGTGATAGATGTCAGGAAGTCAGGGGTTGTCTGGCGCGCCGGGCACTCAAAGCCAAGCCTGACGAAGTAGTCCTTCGCCCTGGGTGCAGGGCCAAAGTAGATTTGACGTCCCTCATAGATGAGTAAAACCTTGTCGAAGAGGTCGTAGGCAGTCTGGGGAGCTTGGTACATGGATACGGCGCAGGCCTGGCCGAACAGTTCAGATTGGAGTCTTAAGGTCTTACAGAACTCAATTGCATTGGCTGAGTCTAAACCCCGTGTCGAGCTTGCGTTAACCATCAGCGTGCATTCCCATCGACGTACAAAGGCAATCGGACAGGGGCTACTCACTTATCCCAGCACTGGAAGGGAGCGTCTGCTAAGGTGGCCTCGGCAATCGTGACACGCTTGCGCTCTCCACCCGAGACACCGCGTACGAAATCGTCTCCTACTTTGGTATGGATGGTGTGGCTGATGCCGTACATGGCCATGACGACGTCTCGAAGGTGTTCGCAATATCTGTGTAAGGTAGTTAGTATTGGCAAGTCAAGACAAAAGACGCATTCAATTAACATACTCATCGCGAGACATGCCCGGCGGTAGCTCCTGCTGGCAGCGGGCACGCGAAGCAAAGGTCAGTGTCTCGCCCACTGTCAGCATGGGAAAGTGGACATCGACCTCAGCCGTGTAGATGCAATCCCCTCGATGCGCAGTGTGCATCTCCTTGGCCGAGATGCCTTGGTAGTTGAAGTACGAATTCTGGTTGACATGAAGGCCGTTCGTGTCGCCTGATATCGTCTTGAGGAAGGTGGAGCAGCCAGAACCAGGCGGGCCCAACACAACGCACATCTCGCCGGCACGAATGATGCCGTCAAATTGGCGCAGGATATCGATTCGTGTCTGACCTGCCCTAGAGGCGAAGAGCCGGCGGATCATCCCTGGCAGAGCGAGCCAGATGTTGCCAACGTTCTTCTGGAAGTCAGTCGGAGTGCCGTATCCAAAAACATTGACGTTCTGGAAACATAAGCCGACTTGACGGAAGCGCTGGCCGCGTTCCTGGGCGATGGTAGCTACATTCGTGGCCCAAATGCGTGCGTTGAATTGCTCGCCACGCGGATTGAGGGGAGAGTCCGGGTCGTCGCTGCCAAATATGGGTTGTGCATTAGGTGAGGCTTTGTCTGAGTATTCGCGAGCAAGCGTCTGCACCCTGGAGTCGCGGGTCTTTGCTGAATCGGATGTATCTGGCTGAGGCTCGTTTGTGTTCGAGTTACCCATTGTCGCTATGGTGATGGAAGGGCTTATTTTGAACAGTACATGGAAGACTCAAGAGATTGAGAAGGAAACGGATATGTAGAGACCGGAGATGGATTTTTGTAAGAGTATCGCGTAGAGTGCGAGTTGGTGGTCCGAAGCAGAAGAGACCGTTTGGGCGGGGAAGGAGCACACTGAATAGGCAACAAAGCATTTTAGTCTTGGCCTTTGACGAGTATGGCAGTGAAACAAAAGTCGGACATTCGGAGCTGAGGCGGAGATTGTCCAGTTGTCCGTTCTGCTTGCATGACCGCTTCGGCGGAGCACACGGCGGAGCAACCCTGGCCAATCATGACCTCTGAAGGAAAACTCGCCGGTCACTGTCTTTCAGCAGACAAAAGTCAATGCCCAAATCAAACTGTGTAACATCCATTTCCAGAAGAGAGGTCACGGCGCCCAGCGCTAAGAAAGCCTCTCCGGTCGTGCGTGATTTTATCTCCCTGTTGGATATCAAATCAAAACCATTCTCTTGGGTTCAATAGCAAAGTCGTTTCTTTCCCCGTTCTTTAGCATCCATCAAGCTAGGCCTGACTCTGCTGTCAGCTTTCCTAAACTGTGTGTTTGTAAGCCTGTCCTGCTCTTTCTCTGTATCCCTTGTTGAGAGGCAATCATACATGATCTTCCCATCCGCGCTATCTTCTTTGTGAACGCAAGTATCCACTTCTCCACACTTCCTGTTTGGCTTATCATCAGATTTACCCTTAGATCGTCCGCCGTTTATGGGCTAAATTCCCTTAGTGGGTCGGTTCTAGCTCTCCACGACAGCTTTCATTTTACCGCCATGTGCATCGGTTCGTAGCATTTCCTTCTTTCCCTGGAGAGGAAGTGAAACAACCTTAACCTCTTTGCTTAGAACGCTATGCTTGCTTTCCGGATTTGCATTCAGCAATACGGCCCGACCCGCCTAGCTAGAGCCTGGCTCTGTCTGGCCTGTTCACGTACCTCCTTCTACCCTGTTAAGTACTAGCTTTTTCCTCAAGCCTGATACTCTAGTTCATCTATCCTGTAGATTGCGGGGTATCCAAGTTTATCTATACTCTGAACGGTGTAGATCTTGACGAGTTGATGAGTAACTTTTTCCACGTTGTTTATAGAAAATGGACATTCCCAGTATGACTGTTGTTCTCCTCTACAATGTAATACACTAGAACATATTTATCTTGCTTTGACATCTTTTCATGGTAGCAAAGTAGTCTTCATTCGAGTTCTCCACGTGAACTCCCTCCTGGACAGGTATTCCTTGCAACTACTTCGCGCACTCTTCGACCGTCTTGCCCAGTCCTGGCCTCGAAAGATCTGCTGGAAGCGAAGGGTTAGTCGCTTGTGAGCGTGGTGGGCTTTTATATCATGAGATTAAAATGGCGCAGAGTGACTAGTTCCAATGACTGACTGTGTCGCATGGAGGTAAAGGAATAGCGTCCTCAAAAGTTTCGATTTTGCAACTACAACAAGCTACTTCGTATCCGCAAGCACTCTCTACTCCTCAGCCCAACATCCCATGTTTATTTCGGGCTAACAACCGACGTCGTAAGCGATCCACTCTCAACATACACACCACTAAAGTACCAATCCTCAGCACCCGTTCCATCATTGCCCTGGCGGGGCAGACGAAGCACACCAAGATGCCAATCAGCGCCATTAGACGACGTGCTAGCAGCAACAGGCCCAACAGTCTTAGTCAGCGTGTTGTTGCCAGTCGAGTGCCAGAACGTGACCTGCTGGGACGTGAAGTTCTACCATCACATCAGTAATCGATACATGTGGGTATGTGACAAATTACGACTCACAATCTCATAAGCAACATTGTGCCACACATCCGCTAGGAGCTCAACCTTCCACTTGCTCTGCCCGCCCACCATCCACTGCAGGTTGGTGTTGCTGACGCCCGACTCGCCGTTTACCCATCCGTACTTCATCTCCGTGAAGTGGCTTTCGAAGAAGTTTATCTGGTGTTCGTTCGTCGCGCTGGGGACGTTTGTAGTTGATCTCTTCATCGAAAAATGGTAGTAGACGGTGCCCGAATTGATAGCAGCCTTTGTCTGCGGGATGAGCTCTGTGCGCCACATATCGCTGTTCCATTTTGCGGTGCTGTCGATGGTGATTTTGGCGCCTTGCTTGGAATTCGTGTCTCCGGAGTTCTTGTAGTTGGGCGAGAGGTTGACATAGCTGGTTACTGGACCGGTGCCGTGGATGTAGTATTGGTAGTTGCCGACTTGGTTTGCCCAAGACCAGTTGTTGAGGTCGGCGCTGGAGGTCATCTCGTTGAAGCGACCATCCCAGAGAATTGTGCCTGGATTGTACATCAGCACTGTGTTGGTAGAAGATGGATATGCTGAGGCTGGCGCGCACCTGCAGACACAGCGCTGACGAGCGCGTTCAGGATTGTGACCTTTCCGAACATCTTGCCTATCTTGCTTTGTTGTTGTTGGAGGGTAAAGATGTAGTCAAGGGTAAAAAGCTTCTACACTGTGATGTGAGGCTTCCACCACGTTATATACCACTCCATCGACAATAGACACTTCCCCAATATGAAGACGGAGCGAATTACCTACGATCGACGTCCTTTCCAATATCCAGGAAACAAAACATTGATTGAAATTCGCGATTATACGTGATTGGCGTGGTTTGCTCGTGAGTGTTTCCAATTAATTTATATGCGACTACTCGTGCTTCAGGTACTTTAACCATCTGTAGAAGCGGAGCAACGGCCCGGTCGTGCATATTGTGCGTTAGGACAACAGAGTGGTGACCTGACAGCGGACATTGGCTTGGTGTAAATACTATATCTAAGAAATTTTATGGAGATGGTAGCGGCTGATGAAACGCAAGTGGGTGGTGTGCAAGAACGCCGCGGGAAACAAGCAAACCTAAGCCGAGCTTGACAAGGTTCAGAAAGCTTAGGAGCAGAGAACTTTAGCATGAAAGTGAATTTGCGCAACTGAGGTGGATAAACGTTCTCAATCAATTACCTGTGAACCGCATAACCGGGGTAACACCTCTGCGACCCTGACCATCTTGGACCACCTACATTTCAACCTTGATTGTCACTATATGCAATACCAACTGATGCTCTACGAGTCGACAAAGCACATGATCTATATTTCCAAGTAAGATCACAGCGTCGACAACCGCAGTGCAACTCACCAACTCCACGCCACCTCAAGCCATGACCTTCTATGTCGGTATATCGACCAACCCCCTCCTTTCCTTAATCCTCCACTGCACCGCCTTCGCAAGCTGATACAGCACCTCAAGCGTCGGCATCTCGACGCCAGCCCTCCTCCCCTCTCTAAGCGGCTCACCAAGTAGATTCTCAAACTCAATGTAATTCCCCTGCCATGACATTAGCCTTCCTATTCCCAATGTTACGACCCCGCCGAGCAACACACCTTCTCCACATCCTGCTGCATACTCGGCTTCAAGTAGCTCTCCAGCGGATCAACATTGATCATGGTCTCGATGACATCGCCAGCTAGATCAACGCCCGCTGCAGCTCTCGCTGCGCGGACAATCTCCCGCATCGCGGGCCTAACCAGCCCGTTCAATGCACCATCCGCGAGTCGGATACGGCCTGAATCGAGTCCTGTGATAGTGCAGATGGGATTGAGACACGCGTTGTAAACCAGTTTCCGCCAGCGGTCGTGCAGGACGTTGGGCGAATAGGTACAATCAGTTTTGCGGCCTGATGAATACATGACAACAAATGATTTTGCCAGGGCTTCCGCTATAAGGACGTTAGCGCTCGGGTGCGGGAATGCGCCGATGAGCAGACGGTCTGGTTCGTCTTGCACGATATGTCCAGGGGAGGGTTCTGCGCTTCCGATTAGACTGACACCGGATAGGATGATGGTGTCAGGGAAGGATGTGAGAAACGGTTTTTCAATATTGAGGCCATTCTGTAGGAGGACGATGGTGGTCTCTGTTCTATTTCCTATGCGTAAAGCCGGAGAAACGAGGTCGATGACGGTGGGTGAGATATCCGGTATGTTCTTGGTAGCGACAACAATGTAGTTGTAATAAGGAAGCCCTTCTTCGGAGACATTCGGGACGGTGTTGCGGACTAGATGTGCGTGTGAACTTTGAACCGTACTTGACGAGACTGGGAGCAATGGGAAGCAGCGTACCTTTACTAGGTCTCCACCCCTTCAAGTTGCCATGATCGCAGCTTTCGATATCGTACCCCTTCTCGTTCACAACATCGTAGTTAGATCTAAGGACAAGGGTAACATCAGACACACCACCAAGTTCGATATTGACAGCTGCGATGGCGCCGACGGAGCCGCCACCGATGACTAAAATGTTGTTTCTCAGTATACCCGGCATAGTGTTGATGAAGGTGTTCGCTCACAAACCAAGATCGTGTTGAGATAACACGCGACGCGTTAGTGGGGTAGAGGGGCACCCTTCATGACTCCTATGCCTCCGAAGTACGGCGCTCCCTTTCATTCCACCTAGCAATCACACAACAAGACTGACGTATGAGGAACAGTGATCATGCGACCTTCAATCGAGCTCCATTTGATGCATATGTAGGTTACAATCCGTGTGATATCGTGACTGACAACCCTTTCGTCCACAGATCCTCCGCCCCACTCCACTCCTCATCATGTCGTTGCATTGTTGCATAATTCGAGTCGATTGAGAAAGCCGTCCGTCCCATCCGCCGAGAAGACTACGCCGAGGACCCAGCAAAAGAGAGAGAAAGAGGGAACACGCTTAGAAGACAAGGGCGGCACCCTTGGTCTTCTTGTCACCACCAAGCTCGAAGTGCTTGCATCGCTTGAGGGCGAGCTGTACGCGTTGTTAGAAACTGGTTGCGACACGGCATTGAGTTTAACGTACCTGTGCCTTAGTCTTGCATGAGGTGCATTCTAGACGGAGAACAACCTTCTTGGTGGTTTTCGCCCTCTGCGTCTTGTCAACATCTCCTCATGTGCTTCCAAGGGAAATATCGTACCTTGTGGAAGACGGGCTTGGTCTGACCACCGTATCCGGACTGCTTTCGGTCGTAACGACGCTTACCCTGCGCGAACAGAGAAGCCTTGCCAGCCTTGTACTCTGTCGACCTTCAGTATGCGCGTATTTGCGTGCGTTTGGAGAGCTACTGACGGGTGACCTTGTGCTGGGTGTGCTTCTTGCAGTCCTTGCCCTTGCAGTAGGTTCGTCGGGTCTTGGGTACGTTGACCTGGGTGGCATTGTCAGTTCATGCCCATCCGAATTGTAAGATCAATCCAAGTGCTCCGTGTTCCTAGGCAATCTCTCCAGTAGCTGCGACACGATCGAGCAAGGTGGTTGTGGCGAATATCGCGTGTAGGGATTCGATGATGTGTGGTAGAGGCGCATTGATAGTGAGCTCGCATGAACAAGCTGCGTCTTGCCTTTGGCGGAGGCACAAGGGCAACAGCGTTTCTTGGCGCGACTATTTGCGCTGCATGTGCTGGGCTGGGTATGTGTGTGCTTGCGAAGGTGTCGCCCCTCTGGCCTCGAATCGTTCGGACCGGGTATCGCCTTCGTCATGACATCCACCAATGCATCTTGCCATGCTGTTTCCCGCTTGTTGAGCCCCTCCACTTTCTCTCAGTGCCAACACTCATCCTACTTTGTTGCTCCCTGGGCGCGGTATCGTGCGCTCGATTGCATCGTATCGTCATCGAGGGTACGTGGGCCGTTGCTCGTTCGCGTCGCAGCGGGGGTATCCTTCGGAAAGACAAATAACAATGTTCTCACTCACCATTTTGACTGATTTCTTCTGTCGGTTAGTTAGGCGACGGATTGGCGGTGGTGTTGATGGGGTTGAAGTTGTCCAGATCCAATATTGCTCGCTTGTGGGCTCGGCTACATGTTAGGTAAGCGGGTTGAGCCACACACTCTGCCACTGCCAAGCATTTCATCACGTACACACCACCACACACCTTTACGATGCACAAGAGACCTGACGCATTTTACTCAAGATGAAAAATATTCGTGATCAAGTATACAAACATTACGATGTGGTATCATGCGATTTCATCAGATCTCTCTCCAAAATAGCACCATCAACTTGTGATCCATATCAAATACACCAAAATCGCAACCCAAACCTAGTAGGCAGGTCGACCCTCCTTCCACAATTTGACCTCCTTCATGTCTTTCGATGCCGTGGGAGGGCTGCCCATTCCAAGGCTAAACCGACCACTCTCACGTTTGCCACTGCTACGCCCATCCTCAAGCAACTTGACTGGGCCAATCCATTCCCACATGCGAGCAACATCACCACTGCTCGTCTCCCTAACAGCCGCACGAATGTTCGAGTTGAATTCGACCTTCTTCTGCACCCTCTCCCATAACTTTTGTCGTCGCGAAGAGGAGAATTCGTTCCGAAGAACGTCGTCTCGAAGCTGTGCCATGCTGATGCCCTTCTCTGGATAAGAGCCAGGTTCTTGATAGCTAAGTGCAGCCTGATCAGCGAGACGATCGAAGACATTACTTGCAAGTTGCTTCGCCCGCGACTCCATGGCCCGGCGATTGGTAACGGTGTACTTTCCATACGAGCCCGTGGCGATCAGGAGGAACAACGTCACAATTTGGAGAAGATGTCGTTCAAGAGACTGTCGGAGGGATCGGCGGACGCTGCAGGAGAGGGAGAGTTCGGCGAGGGACGTTGAAGCGAGTCGTCGTCCGCCAGTTGTTCTGTATCCACAGAAAGGTGACTGGTTAGTACAGTCCCATGTCAGAGAAGCTGCAAATGTGGTCAAGACCGGGGGGTGTTGAGACTTACCCATCGCTTGTCTCGACGACTTCCTCGCGCAATGTCATGTCGGGGAAAGCTCGATCAAAAAGCTCACTGAACTCTTGATCCGTCATGCCTTTGCGCTTCTGAGTAACCATATGCTGCTTCAGCTCCTCTTCGGTCACTTCAGGGCTCTCCACCGGGTTCCCTTCGGCGTCAGGCTCGCCGCATTCGTACTGTGCCCTGCGTTGCCGTAGAATCTGCACGGCCTTGTCGGCGACACTAGTGACTTTGCGCGTCTTCTCGCTATCAGGTTCGCAGGTAGGCGGCAGAGGGATCAGTCCTCCGAGCGAAAGTGGATGGTCTTTTCTCATGAAGTCACGTTCGCAGGTAAGCTCCAAGCCTCTGTAGCATTGAGCGTGTGGCGGACACGGTTCGCACTGCGGAAGAATGTCGCTTGCCCAAACAGGCACGTCTACACCGGCAAGCGCAGTAGCCTCCCTCCCGATGCCGCAAAAGCCGACTTGAATCTTCTCTTGACGCCAAACCCCACCTAGCACTGCGGCAGCAGTGAGCAAAAGGGTTCCTGACATGGCTTTCAGAGTTTTTGTAGCCTTTGAAGGCTGTCTGCGTCTCCGTGGTGGCAGGATATCCATCTCACCAGCTTTGGCACGATCACGCACAAGCTCCAGCTGTGCTTCTGGGGTGAATTCTTCGCCGGTGTCCCCAGTATCGGGCTCCTCCTCATGTTCGCGCGGGTCTGCCACATCGAACGTCCCGCGAGAAGGCACGACAATGCCCTCATCGACCTGCTCAGTGGTAGGCTGGAAAGTTTTGCGGCGGAATGCATCGCTCTTGCGCTTCTCCTTCTGCTCCGAGCCCATAGTCCTTCTCCTCCGGTCGCGCACCGCAGAATCAGGCACCGCTGGAGAGCTCCCACTCTGGAAAGGGTTCTCCTGGGTGAACGGGCTGTCGGCGGCGGGGCGATGCCATGCTTCGGGTTCATGAGCGGGCTGCTTTACAACCGGTGCATAACTCTTCCGCCTCACTGCAGGCTGCTCTTCAGCCTCTGCCTCAAGCCCCCTCCCATGTTTCGCGGGCACGGCACGGGACGGCGTCTTCGCGCGCGGTGCTGGCGCAAACGTGTCTGGCTCTTCTGGGGAGGCGCGTGTTGTGCGGCGGGAGGTGCGCCTCGTCGTAGGCTGGGGTGGCAGCAGTGTCTCGTCCTCGGCATCGTCCGTTGTCGTCATGCTGTCGGCGCTGGAGGGCACGTCGACAATGCCCCTCGTCGATCGCTTGGTGTGTGCATATGCCCTTTGGACCTGGGCCGCCTGTGGGGCGACAGCCTGGTTGAACAAGCTGACCAACGCGGCCTTCTTTGCCGAGGACGGATACGTGACGCCATGCTTGAGCAAAATACTGCGCAACTCGGGGACGGTGATCTTGTTTGCGTCGACATCGGGGTCGAAATACCAGTATTCTCCGCGTGCGTCGGCCATTTCGCTTCAAATTGACTGTGGGGTCGAGAGGGTGCGTGCAGTCGGGTTGTAGAGCCTTTTGGATGGTCTAGATAATGCGATATAACCGGGTCGTGGTGGCTAGTCAGAGCAATAGGCGTATGGAGGGATGAAAGTCTGCTCTGTTAGGTTGTTTGTGACGTCGTCGTTTCTCATCAACACATGTGTTTATCAACAAAGGAAAGATCGACCTGCCGTGACGCACAGACCTTTCCGTTTTCCCTCATCTCTCATCGCACTCGACGGCATCCCACAACAACACAGCCTTGTCTTCTTTCTACCTCATTTGCGTCGAGCCTTGACAAGTACATACATGAGAACAGATTTCTCTGTATCTCTAGTACCCCCAATTGGCATAGTATTTCCTTGAGGCCTGGTTATGCCGCTCGACGTCACGTAACCACAACCCACGAGCCGAAGTGAATCATGCGACGAACAGAGCTAGGATGATCTTTGATTTACCCTCTGAACAAATACCAGATTGGAGGCTGCTCAGCCGTTTGACATCCCCACGCGTATCGGGTGCCATAAAGACAACTCGGTGTCAACCCCCAAACTAAACTATCACCCACTAAGGGCATAAAAACAATGGGCTGCCCCTGCGTGGCTCAGATTACCTGCGCAACGGTTTGGTATTATTCAAACGCTTTATTCTTAATCTAGAGAAATAGGGGTGTTGAAAATCCTCCATCTCCCCATGGGGATTCACTTTTGACGAACCATTTCGATATCGTCACATTCTTGGAATTGGGGTGTGTAATATCTAACTCGACTTAGTGCATGTTATCAGTGGGTCAAGCGTGGCCATCTCGATTATACGTTTGTGAGCAGACAATCAATCAATCCGCAGTCGGTCACGTACCGATTCAAGTATAAAGATATGTTGCACCCAGACCTCCAGGCATATTGCAGAGACCGATTGTGTCCATTCACCCATGAAACCCTTTCCCGGGTGGATCAGGGCGTCATTCTCAACGAGACAAGGGTCTATCAACTTGTGAAAAGGTTGTCCATGCTTTCGCCCTCAGTAATTATAAATTGGGCGTAGTCTCATACCAGTATATTTTCTTATTATACCAAACACTCATCAACTCGATCTGTTAACTCGATTTGTAACGCAATACTACCCACGCACTAAATTATCAACGTCTTCGTCATTATGCTCATCCCCAGCATGAATTCTTCTCTCTTCCTGTTTTTTTTCCTTGGGCTACTGATGCCACTGCTCAACGCCTGCAGTCCACCTCTGAACGACTTCCGTCTGTTCAACGACACCTCCCTCCTACCTCAAATCCTTGCCGAGCATGGCATCGACATGAACAACCCAGAGCAAGGCTCAGCTGAAGTCGTCTCCAACACGATAAGTCCGCACGAAAGATGGCATGCGGGCATGGATCCATCGACTCCAGAGGTCACAGTCATCCACTGGTGCTACTACAGCCAAGTCGAGATTAACGCAATTGGGCTGATGGGCAACCACGTTGCAAAAGCCTGGGAACGTTGGCACCAGAAGATCGGCCAAGCTTCCGCAGAGAGTGGCCACACACTGGAGTTTCGCTTGTGGAAGAAGATGTGCACCCTCGATCCTGCGCCAGGGGGTATACATCGTACGTGGAGACTGGAGGTTCCGAAGAGGACCGTGGTGGTAAGGCTGGCGAGGGAACTGGATGGTGGAGCGCAGTCCACGACTGGGTATATACCTGAAGCATGGTCAGTGACATGGTTATCACGACGTGAGACTGATCTATATTAACCTTTTCGTGCAGGAATAATCGAGAAGGTCGCCATAAACTCGAAATCTCCCCCAGTCTTTTCTATTCGCCGCCTGAATTCATCCAGTCGATCCTTGCCCACGAACTGGGTCACATCTTTGGCCTCTGGCACGAGCACCAGCGTGAAGACCGTAAGTTTGACAAACAGCCTAATTCCACTGAACTCCAAAAGAAATAATCACTAACCGTTTCCAAGGAGATCGTTACGTCCATTTCGAGTGCAAAAACCTCAACGGGTACGCCGAAGTAGCCCAAAGGATTTCGGATCAGAAACCAAGTTTCACCATGGCCGAGATGTGCGAATCCTGGAAGCTCGGCCGCGACCCAAACTGGAGTTTCCCCGCGCCCAGTTTCTCCACGCAGACATCGCGCGAGTCGTCCAATGTCATGTGGTGGGAGACATTTCCGCTTCAGGTGACCCACAGCGAAAAGTACGACTACGATAGCATCATGCATTATGCATCTAGTCAGGCGATGCGGCCGGGAAACAATGGGTATGATGTCAAGCAAGCTGTGTTGACCAAGTGGAAGAAGCCGCTGGATGAGGGTCAGTCTGCGCCGCCGGTTACGGCGATGAATTCATTCATCATGCGGGGGACTGGGGTTCCGTCGGATAGGGATTACGAGGCTATCAAGAGGTTGTATCCGTGGCCGAGTAGACAGGATGCGCCACCGAGGGGCGATAAGGTAGGATAGTATGTGTGGATCTCTTTACGTTGGACTTGCTGGCCATCTTTTCAGTCGGCATATATAAATAGTTGTTTCTAGATGGCAGTCTCGTAGTTGGAGAAATTAAACATTAAACCCGAGTCTCTGCAACTCCTTAGTCAATTCTCCATAGCGATAGCGTGTATCTTCATGGTCCTGTTGAGCTCGTGTACAAGAGCTGTATCCAAAAGTATTACAACATTTAGTAGAAAAAGGTTGAATTTCGGAACCGAGGATGAAAAAGGTGAATGATGATAGCATACCTACCGAAGCCTTAACACAATCTGGACACAGAAATAACCCTTTCCTTCAACAAATAGCCCTCAAGAAAGACGCGAACTCGTAGACCTTGAACTTGTCGTATCTATTACCTTTACGGTGGTTAGACAGGAGATAACCAATGATCTAGACAAATTCGTCGCCTCTAAATGTAAAAGGCGCCATGTACTTTTCCTTGTACGACACGAACTATCCGTCTCAGCAATCAACTTATCGAGCATTTCCATACCCACCGTCCACTACCAAACTATGCCCCGTTACGAAGCTCCTCTCGCCAGAGCACAAGAACATAGCCGCATTTGCAACCTCAGTTGACAAGGCATCAGCATTTGGATGAATCCAAGACGTATTGCATTCATCTTGATGCGGTGTTGTTGTTGTTGACTGCGATGATTGGCTTCCGAGCGCGTCAAAGACAACACCGCAGCCTTCGACGCGGCGTACATCGAGGCCGGTACCCTTCCCACGACACCTTCCTGAGGTACAATAGTGACAATGGCGCCTCTCTACCCTTGTTCGAGGGTTTCGCGGTTTGACACCTTGTAGCCCTTGTATGTCTTGATCTCGCTTGTACGTATCAACTCCAGCTCCCTCTGCATGTACATCCACAATGCTCGGTAGTTGAAGTTGTTCACTTTGTCGAACTCCTCGAGGCTCGAACTCCTCCGGGCAGTTCACGGCATAGTCGAGCTCTGGTATTTGACTGAAGAGATAGTTGATGAAATGTGGGTCAGTAATGTCGCCGCCAAGATGCTGACATCGGATGGATGAGACAAACAAAGTGTAGCGATGAGACCTTTGGTATATTGTAAGCCGAAGCTGTCACTGCCGGTAACGTACAGAGTAGTGATGCCAGCTATAGAGGGCAAAAGACACAGCGCGTCCAATGCCTCCCAGACGCGTCACTTGAGGTGTATTTAGCAACACTTATGGTTCTTATTTCACCTGAGCCTGCTCCTATCACGAGTGCTGCTCCATCGACGCGTTTGAATGCTAGCTGCGTCATGTTGTGTACATTGCTTGTGCTGGCCTGATCCATTGCTCACGCAATCGCGAAGCTTCACGATGGCGTGTGGGCTATCCATGATAACGATAGGTCTCTCTGCGTACGTCCTGGAAATGGTGTCATTTTACTCAAGAACCTCATCACGGAGACATGCGAATGATCAATCATCATGTACGAAAGAGCGAGCCTTGGTGTGAGAGTAATCGCGATAAGGCTGTGAGGCGCTAAGATGATCAATGTGATTCGTAACTGCCCCACTCTCAAACGCCACTAACCGTTTCGAGGTATCTTTTCCGAAAGAGTCTTAGTTCGGCGCGTTCACAATTCACGTCTGTTTAAGAGCGCTGATATCGAGGTGGCTCATGCTCGCGCTGGGACGTCACGACGTCTCACAAACACACAAACGCACAGCCCCCGTCCCCTCAATCTTTACGACAAAGCGCGCTTTCCTTCCCGACATCTTCGTGCGGAAAGAATCACGGCTACCTGAGGAGGCAGGATTTAGGCAAGCGCTAAACCCATCATTGACATCGCATCAATACCATGTTCGGCCATAGCACATGCCCCACAAGTATCATCAAGTGAGTGCTCGTATGCAGGCGCAACGAGCAATGTGTTGAACGCGATACCTAGGGCTTACAATGGGGGTGACTACTCCGACTTGACCATTACCTGCGGGTCCATGGTCTTCACCGTTCACAAGCTTGTCGTCTGCACGAAATGTGCCTTTTTCGAAAAGAGCGCCAAATTTGGTAAGGTAAGTCAACGGCCATGCAGATTTCGAGACAAGCACAACCAAGGTCTTACCTTTAGATAGGAAGCCGAAGAGAACCGCATCGACTTGCCTGAAGATGATCCTGAGATGATCCGACGTTTGATAGCATACCTCTACCTGGGCGACTACGAGCCCTGCTATCACACCAGCATCTCCAATTTCCGGAACATGAAGCAGCCTGAATCCAGAACAGAATTGGCCACAACCTATCACGCCCGATATACCAAAGCTCTATTCGATACAGATCTATGCGCTTGTCTCGCCTTGGGACCAGGAGCCGTTCCACAAAAGAAGGCACCTCGTTCTGACAGTGTCTCTCCAGAGTACAAGCTCATTGAGAGGCCTGACAAATCAGTCGAGATCGCGACACCTCTGTCTGTTCACGCGACCATGTACGCTCTAGGCGACAAGTATCATGTTGACGGACTTTGCCAACTTGCCACCTCAAAGTTCGATTCGTGTCTCCACTACCACTGGAATTCTGAGGATTTCATCGATGCGGTGCAGATCGTCTACAGTTCTACCCCCGATACGAATCGCGGACTTCGGGATGTTGTGTTGAAAGCCTTCAACATACACTTCGGGATCAATATAGCACAAATTCCAGGCCTTGAAATGAAGTTACACACGATCGACGAAATGTCTTTCCATTTGATGAAAAGCTGGCCGAAGAAGGCGTCTCTCACTCCACAATCTGCCCAGAAGCCTCCGGTCGCGTCGAGTTCCCTCTTTGCAAGTTTCCTACCCCCACAGCCTGTACCTGGAGGTCCTTCGCCCCAGTTCTTCGCGCATGCTCAGCCTCCACGACCTGCGTCTGGAAATCCTCAACCTTCATTGTTTGCGAGTGTTCAGTCCCAACGACCGGTACCTTTATTTGGAGGGTCCGGATCATCAACGCAATCGCCTCCTGGACCACCGCGACCTTGAGGCTCTACTTGAGTCTCATCTAGCAGTCATTTGTCTCAGTCCAGTGAGGCATCTGAACCCCAAGATCAAAAACAGTCTGGTTGATCGGAGCGGTTAGGATGATGAAGAATGAGTTATGAGGTATCTCAGTGTGGGTGGAATGCGAAGGGAAAGTGAAGACTGGTTTCGTCGCAGCTCATGAATATAGCATAGCGTCTCAGGTTTTGGTAGCCCGACCTCCAGAACATGTGTGCATATGGCTACATAGTCTGTGTTGTCGTCGATAGATTGTATCGTAAATCGGCTGACTACTAAAAATGCGTGAGCCTTCACTTGCTCCACATGATATTTTGCCATTACTGACACCCACGTCTTGTCTGTTTTACCATGTAGCGACCCTCACCTTCCACGAACTCCAAGGTCTACAACCCTCTTTCTTTCTCATCGGGTTCAACGAACCTGCCGCATAGGGTTGCCCAGCGAGACAATGCTGTCTTACTTCTTTCAATCTCCACTGTTTCATTGTCTCACAAACACACACACGCACTCACATCTTTGTTTGAGACATCTTCCATTTGTTTGCTTAACGTAACATCACACAAATATAAACATCTTCCAATTGCCGTATTTTGCAGCCGAGGAGCTTCACTGCTACCAATATGTCGACACCTCAATTGAACACTATCGACTGCGCGCACACTTCATCACCCACATACTCTTATGGCCCCTCATTGCTATTAGAATCCATTGAGAGTGAGCCTTCACCTCCGCCATTGTACGAAATCAAGGCCAGCCGCCCTTGGTGGCTCCAAAGTGCCGAGAAGCTGGACACTGTGGATGAGGAAGCGCAGCACGGCTTCTGGGGTGCTTCGCCTCCCTTCCACAGCTATGATAAGATTTCGCCCATCCACAGGGGCGGGTGGTGCTATGATCACGGCTTCTGGAGCTTTTTGTCGATTCTGATATCGATCTCATGTGTCTTATTTGTCGCCATAGACCTGGACCTAAATCACTATGCAGGAGTGGCTCACTGGGTGGTCCATGGAGACGCACATGCTGTCAAGACAACTCACCAGGTAGGCCGAAAACTCGGAATGTTATGTAGTGGCTGACAGATGTGACGGCAGATGCAATTTTGTCTCATGACGCTGAGTCACGGCACATCCAGCCCGCGGAGCTGGCGATACATGCCGCCTGCAAACCTTGAGAACTGCGCCACGAAGATTGTTACGCTGTTTGCCAGTTCATCTGAACAACAGCAACTTCGATTGAACGACGAGGTTATCATTGGGGATAGTCGAACATTCACTGCAAAACACAAAGAGGATGGGAAAAGTATCCATGATGAAATACTAGAAGAATTGGGCGACGACATCGCGGAGGAGGGAAAGTTGAGACGTTTGATCCCGGGAACTGCTTTGTGAAGCTTGGTGGTTGGTCAGGATATAGGTCGTTTCCGAAATACCATGTCATAACGTGACTTATGTAGTAGCTAATCAGTTAAATCTCCGCGCATTACTCGGCCCCTTCCGGTTTCTTCGAAAAAGTTCAAGAACTTGGCCGCACAAAGTGCGGCCCTCCTAGCTTAACAATAATTACAACCTTAACAATTCTAACAGCAGAAAGAGCTATCTATAATAACTAATACTAAATTTTTATTTAGTATAAGTCTAGAAAAAGGCCTTACAGCTACTTTATACTCTTTAGATTTCTATATTTTAACGCTGTAGTAGTAACTTTGTTATTATAGTTTTCTTAATTTTTATAGCCTATGTACGCTCTTACTAGAATTTACTATAATTATTAAGATAGTTAGTATTGTTAAGCTAGGAGGGCTGTACTCTGTACGGCTAAGTTCTTAAACTTTTTTAAAGAAACCAGAAGAGGCCGAGTAGGCCTCTAGTAAATTTGTAGTACTGTTAATAATATAGATAATAATTAGGCTTACGCAGTATTTAATTTAGTTTATAAGGCTTTTAAACCTATATAAGTTATCTATATAGCTTAAAAGCTAGTGTTATTATTATTATTTTCCTACTACTACTATTACTGTAATCTATACTCTAGCCTACTAGCTACTGCCTTAATAAGTATACTTAGTAAGCTGTAATTAATTAGATTTCTACTAGTTATAGTAACTCTAAGATCTTCTATAATATCTATATCTATTCCTAAATATTATATAAAATAAGGCTCTTATTAGAGTACTAAAGGTAGCTATATCTACCTACTTATATTAACCTTAGGTACTTACCTAAGCTGCAGTAAGCCTATTTAAATTATCTTTAGGCCTACCTTAATAGGCGCCTATACGCGTATATAGAGAAGATATAGTAGTTTATAGATAATAATCTTAGTGTTAAGGTAAGTCTTAGGATAGTATATAGAGCCTTTAATAAACTCTAGTATAGCTATAAAATTACTATAAAATAAGTAGCTAAATAGAGCTTAGCTCTATAGTAGTTTTTCCTAGTATATATATAATAATACTACGCTACTAAATAAATTATTACTATTAATAAGAGTATATATAATAAGCAGATAGGTAATTATAAGTATAGCTAAAGTAGAATAAACTTATTAGTAGAGCTCTATTACTTATTTAAAAGATTAGAAAGATAGAGCTTACTACTTATAATAACTATAGATAGCTACTTTACGTACTATATCTTTTAAGGTATAATTACTTTAGCTATTATAGAGAACTTTCTAGAGTTTAATATACTACTATACTTAACGCTAAACTACTATATAATTCTACTAGATAATACCTTTATTTATTAGTTACTATACCTATGTAAAATTTATAAGTAAGCTAGAGTAGCTTTTAAGTTTTTACTACTATACTTACTAGATTATAACCTAATTAAGAAGAGCTTTAAGTAGTTAAAAAGCTAGATAAAGTAGTATATAAAGGGCTTAGAGTTTATAGATTTTAAGTTCTTCTTAGAGTATACTGTTAATTAGAGCTGCTATAAGCAAGACTATAAAAATTAGTACTATTATTATAGCTATAAAATTATAGTATTATATTAAGATACTAACTTACTATATTATTTTACTAAGCTATTACTTAGTAAAACCTCTAATATACTAAACTTTAACTTATAGTAGTACTACTTAATAATACCTTAATCTTTTTATTTAGAAATTAAACTATATACTTATTTAATAGTATACTACTTAAAAAAAAAGTTTAGTATAAAACTATTAAGTTTTAGTAGAGTAGTATAGCTAGAGTTATTATTTAGTAATACTTAAGTATTTTATAATTACTCTTACTACTAGCCTCCTCTAGTATAGATCTTATATTAATTAATAAGTAAAATTTAAGTAAAAAAGATTAATTACCCTAAGCTAGATTTAAACTCTTAATTACTAAAAAAACTCTAAAAACGTATAGCCTTATACTTCTACCTTAAGTACGTAACTTTATCTAGCCTATAAGGGGACTCTTTTAGCTAAGGATTTAAACCTTATACCTTACTAGATATACTGCTATAGATACTACAACCTTTTAGAAGAGATAGAAGAGATAGTAGACTTAGAGTTTTAATAAAGATTAGTAATATTCTTTAATATATATATACGTAGTAACTACCTAAAGTAGTAATATATAGATTACTAAACCTATACGCGTAAAATAATACTAAATAAGTATAGAGTAGCGCAGTAGGAGTATTATAGACTATACTATATTAGTAAAGTAAAAGTAGAAGTTAACTATAAGTTAGAGTAGAATAATTAGGTTTAATACTTAGACTATAATTATAAGCGTAATTTTACTTAACTTAATACTATAACACTAAATTATAATATAGAAAGAATAAAAATTTATAAGCTATCTTTATATACTTATATTAGTAAGTAGTTTTAATTCTAAGTTATTTAGAGTATAAAGTAGTATTATAGTTAGAGGTATCTAAAAAATACTTATAAAACTTATATTATACTATATTTATATTACTTATAGATTTTACCTTTATCTACTCTAAGTTACTAAGACTTAGCGTATTTTTAAGTAAATTAGCCCTACGCCTTCTTACTAAAATAACAGCCTATAAATCTATTACTAATAGGCTAGTATATATTATCTTCTATTTAATTACTCTTACCTATAGCTCTAATAGTAACTTAGGCCTAATCTTAAAGAACTATGTCTACGTTTCTATTATTATTACTACTAGATTAAGTAGTATATTAATATTAAAATACCTATTAGTAATAATAGTCTTCTTAATCTTCTTTTATACCTAGTATAGCTCTAGGCAATATAAGTACTACTATAATAAGAATAATCTTATATATACCTTATACTTACAGTGGGGTGACACAAATAAAAAGTCACTTTAAAAGTCTACTATTTCAAGAGCGTATATCTTAGTAAGTACCAGAGCTATAAAATTAAAAAA